AAACGTTCAAAAACTCTACTCCTCCAGAAATGAATAATTCCAGCATTCCAAAACCCTAAACTTTTAATTTCCTAAATTCCTAAACTCTTAATTTATTATATGTTCTCCCCCAAACTCTCCACATAACTTACCTACGCCATATGAAACCAGAGCTACACTAAATGCTCCGTAAATTCCTACACACAAAGATCTCCACACAACAAACAAGTTTCAAGATCACCATACCGAATAATTGCAATTATCGATTACCATACTGCACACGACCATTTTCCTCCTAGTCATCGCCTAAAGCACGCATTTCATACGAATTTATCAAGTTAATCTATCGTCGCTTATCAAAACGAATTCTTCTGGAAAGATAGATCACAGCTCCAAAACCGCTATCGATTCTCACCTGCTACCGTTCCACACATTATGAGCTGACTCGAAGTCTGGTTCCGCGATGGCGTGACACGTGACGGGAAACAGCCGAAGAACGTAGACACTGCTGTTTAAGAACGATAGTAATATCGTTGAAAGTGCAGGGAAAATTGCTTCGATAATACACGGTTTGTTGCGAAAGTGATGGGACTGCTTGTTTTATAACTCAAATTCCATGATCTAACACCGGCAAAAAACAACTAACTATGATCTATGAACCTTATTGAAGTATTCAGGTTATTCTGGATGGGCCAATAACTTTGTGCTCCGTGAATTCCGTGAATTCTTGTATCGATTTCATCGAGATTTCAACTATGGACATGTGTTTTTGGCTGACTTACATGATTTAAAAAAGTGGAGATTACTAGGCACATTTTGTGTAAAAATGTATTTATGTACAGGATTGAAAGAATCTTGTGACGATTGAACAATCTTGAGACTTATACAAGTAGGTTAGTAATGCAATATAGTAAATAGTAATTAAATTAAATATTTGTAAAATGAAATGAAAGCAAATTTTTAGAAAAAATATTATTATTTTATTATTTAGTGAATTTTGTTTCTTCTAAAAAGTAAAGAAGAAAGTGGTGGGGATTGCATTCAATGACAAATGACTTTGTGAAGCCTAAATACTTAAACAATCAAATCGTTTAACGAATTGCTATCTAAATAGTTAACTTTATGAAGCACTAAAGAAATCTAAATAAATAATTAAAAATTCAAAAACAAGTAGTTACTTAAATTTTTTAGAGCTGCATAAAATTCTACCCCTGGAAAATAGTTATTTAAATTGTTACGTTCATTGAATTAAAAAAAATTCAGAATAAATAATTAAATATTTAATAACAAATAGTAACTTAAATTTTTCAGAGCTTCATAAAATTCTACCCCTGGAAAATAGTTATTCAAAATATTACCTTCATTGAATTAAAAAAAGTTCAGAATAAATAATTAAAAATTTAATAACAAATATTTATTTCAATTTTTAGAATTTCATAAATTTCTATCTTGGAGAAATCAAATTTCCAGTGATGCAAAATGCAGCCCCTCATGTATTGAACACGTTTTATCTTTACTTTGATAAAAACTATTATAAAAAGCTATACAATAAAGGTAACTGTTATAACCTTTGATAAAAAGGTTCTTTATTTTTTCTTATCCTGAGTAACATAGGTTAAGATTTTGTTTTTCCTCTCTGTAATCTCTTCCCGTGCAGTTATCGATAATTATCATCAAAATTCACACGTGTTAACAATTCCATTTTACTGAGGATTTCAAGGACATCCGTCGACAGCTGATGGAAGCAATTTCGTTTAGTGCTGCTGTGCCAGTAGCGTGCACAGCTGTCCGTTGCTTAATTTCTTATCAAACTTCTTTTTCCTTGAAAATCAATCGATTCATATCGCTCTATTTTCCGAGAACATATGTTCGTATATGTATACGTTATTTACGTTCTTATATGTGTTCGTGTATGCGTTATTTACGTCCGTGTTTACGTTATTTCAATTAGAATTGATACGATCTCGGATATTTGATAAACGATGCATACTCGAAGAGCGAATAATTAAATTTTATATATTAGTAATATATTATTTATATTTTATACGCAATGATTATGGTGGTATTTAACAGTAACTAGTTAACTTGTTTGTGTATAATTATTTAAACAGAATTAAATTTTTCATATGAAATTAACTTTGCGTTTATGACAGTAGTCGAAGATCAATTTACTCACTTTTTGAATTTTAAAGCAAAGGTAATAGCAAAATTATTTTTCGTGTACATATCTTTATTGCTAAAATACGTTTTATAGATTATTTTGTTAAAATACTTCTTTTTACTAAAATAAAAAATAACAAAATTAGACTTATTTTCAATTAACATAACCTCGTACTACAATTTCACTTACAATTAGACAAACAGCCGCGGTATTTTATGATCATATTTTTGCTATTAAAGTGCAAGTATTTCTTTATGAAGAGTTTTTCAATATTCAGCAACTTTTTATTAATATTTTACTGAAATGCAGAATATTGCTGATACCCAAAAATGTCATTATATTAAATGTGGACTAATGACGCCATAATGAAACGCTGCCATAAAATGAAAATAAAAAGATCAGTATTTGTAAGACTGATATCTTTTGCACAATTATCCCTCACAACTGTGCATGCTGGCTGAAAATTCTGCTATAAGGAAAGAGTTAAATTTTCAGTGCAGTCTCACACGAAAACTAATCTCCTTATCAAGCGCTGCAGCAGAAATTGGTTAATTTAACGCAAACTCAGCGTATTCACTAATAATTGAATTAAAAATTACTCGCTAAAGTTTTTAAGCAGAAAATAAAGAAATCGACAAAAAATTTTAAATTAAATATGAGTCACGGTTTTATACTCTGTTTAAATTCAAAGAGGAATAATTTCGTATTAGAATACTAGTTGAATACCTAACATATAAGTTAACCTCCAAATAAGAATTTTGGATCAAAGGAAGTTTTTTTATGAGTATAAACAATTTTTCTAAATCTAGAAAATTTCGTATAATAAATTTTTATTAGAATATATAGATCTGTACAAATTTATTGTAAATTTATTGTTTATAATAAATTTATTGTAATTTACTGTAAGAAATTGTAGTGAGTACAATTATGATACAATTAAAATTAATTGCATGAATTATAGTGTAATTATTATACAATTATTATAGAATTAAAATTGATGATATAAATTATAGCGTAATTACAATCAGATTAAATTTAGTAATCTATAAGATAAATGATAGTAAATATAATTGTCATAATGGCATTTCATAGTACAAATTTCAGTATTATTATAATTAGTATAGTTCAGTATTATTATAAAACAGTTTTTATGTTATAAACCACAGTATAATTATAATGCAATTAGAATATGTAATATAAATTATAATTCAACCGTAACACAATTAAAATCGCATTATAAATTATGCAGTACAATTACAATAAAACCATAATTTATTCCAACAAATTTATAATAAAGTTGTAAGTGCATTTATATTATAATTTGCCCGCTCATACCCATAAAACGTAAAGAATTTTATCAGCAGTAACAATCTTGCCGTTCTCCTAATCGTACTAAACCACATTCCTCAAAGAACAACGACACGAGGATAAGAAAAAGGATGAAAATCGGTGTAACGGCGACCTTGCCACGAAATCTAACAATAATAGTTCTCCGAGTGATAAGTGTTGTGGCGTTAGGTTTCTATGGCAGCGAGTGACCTGGTCAGTCCACCACGTGGTCAGTAACCGAGCCATTAAATTCGGGTCGAGTTTGGTGATAAACCCCTGATCGTATCTGCAATTGTGTCAGCCGTTCTTGCAAGAACGAGGCCTTGCCGTCAATCAACTCATCATTAACCACACTATTCCCTATTTTTACTTACTCAATGAAATCCCTCGTAAAACTAGCCACACCGGATCGATACCCACCATTACTTGTGAAATGCTGGAAAAACGGTTTCATTTCGTTTATCGGCTGACAACAGATATGTAGAGAATTGTGCATTGCTGCATTGCTGCGGATGTGTCTGTCGTTTCTCTTGCAGTGATTATTATTGGTTACAAGGTGTTCATTGTCAGTCACGCAGTGGCTGTGTTTACTACTGCCGCGCCAGTAGATTAAGCACCTTCAGTCAGACAGTAGTAACGGACAGTAGAATATCGTACAGTAGATATGGAGGGTGTGGGATCAGACAGTCGAACGGAAGCTTTTATTATCTTCATTCACTATGGATTTAAATCAAAGTATACTACACGACTGTGTATACTTATATGTATCTTGTTCAAGGAGGTACATTATTTTTTATTCTCTTTTGCAGTTTGAATTATTTAGAATTTTATTTTAAATCAAATTATACTACACGGCTGTGTATACTTATGTGTATCTGGTTCAAGGAGGTACATTCTTTTTTATCCTCTTTCGAAATTTGAATTATTCAGATTTTTTTTCAGAACAATAGAAATATTCTTTTATTTGCAATTTGTTATTTTAGTTCAAAAATACTGCAATTTTGAGATTTTTAATTTTTAATAAATATACTACAATACCTATTTAATATACAATGTTGTATAACTTACATATTTATACATTTTGTATAAATTACAACATCTTTACTGTAACATCTCCATAATTAATATCCCCATCTACAGGTATCAATATCTATGACGCATTAATACTATCTGTAACCATAATTCTGTAACCATAATTCGTTTTATAATATACCACAACATTTCCATAATTAATATCCCCATCTACAGACATCAATATCTATAACCCATTAATACTATCTGCAACCCTAATTCTTATTATAATATACCACAATATCTCCATAAATATCCCCATCTACAGACATCAATATCTATAACCCATTAATACAATTTGTAACCCTAATTCTTATTAAACTTCCCCAAGAATTTGAAACCCGACAAATAGGTGTTCGAAACTCAGCGTATCAAGTATTCTATCGTTGCCTCACGTAAAAACTTCCCGATTATGTCAACAACGAAAGTTTACATTGTTCAATCTTTTTGCAAGCACTGACCCAGTTCACGGGTGAAGGAACCGGACATTATTCTCTTCGGCGCGATGAATTCGATCGGCCGAGAGGGCGAAAGATGCTTTCACGCGAGGTCAGACCAGTCTTTGTGAACCGGTGCCAGAGACGGGCATGGACACTAAGACTCCACCGATCCCGTTGAAGGTCCAGGAGAAGTCGAAACCGAAGCACCAGGATAACGTGGCCGATGTGTCCTTGCCCCCGCTGACACCGTACAGGAATCATCGTCAGAAGCAGAAAACTCCTGGTACTCAGTGGTCGCGTGATATACCCAGCGCTATACGTTATCAGGATCATCAAAGAAAAAGACCTTACAGGTACACTTTCCCCCTCGATCGATATGCATTTCTTCGTGAGTTGTTTAGAACCGCTTTTCTTATTTTCCTTCGTAAGTATTTTATGTTCGCGGAGCATACGCGATGCAATAGTCTCACGGCTTTTTTCGATTTCGCGGCGTTTTTCTTTTCTGTAGCTTTATTTTGTTGCGAAAATGGAAAAATGAGAAGGTGGGAAAGAGGTTAGTGAAAAATGATTAGTTAACATGTGAAGTCTATAGGGCATTAATTGATTTTTATTGCTGTTTTATACTGGTCTTTTGTTATCTCTTTTAAAAAATTCTCTTTTAGAAATTAAAAAATTGGGAATTTCTTAAATATATAAATTTGAAATCCTCAAATTTCCAAACAATCAACTTCCTAAATACCCAGGTTTCCAAATCCCAAGTTCCAAAAGTACCAAAATTTCTAAACCTTCACATTTCTAATTTTTTAAATGTACAAAATTCTTTACCAATCTCAAAATCTCGAAATCTACAAACCTACAAATGTATAAATCAATAGATTCCTGGAACCCTTAATCACTAACTCCGTGAATCCGTAAATCTCTAAATTCGTAAATCCCTAGATTTCTAAATCCATGAGTTCCTAAATCACAAAATGTTCAAATGTCCAAACTGCCAAATCTTGAAATCTCTAAATTCCTAAATCACCAAATCCCTAAATCTTTAAATTTGCTAACCTCTAAATTCTAAATTCCACAATACAGATACCCAAATCTCTAACTCTCCAAATTTTTAAATCTCTCAATCTAAGAATTTTCAAATTTTCAAATTTCCATATTTCCAAATCCCCAAATCCCCATATTCCTAAATTCCTAAATTCCCAAATTTCCAAGTTCCCAAGTTCCCAAATTCCCAAATTTCCAAGTTCCCAAATTCTCAAATTCCCAAATTCCCAAATTTCCAGATTCTCAAAATTCCAAAATCCCAAATTCCCAAATTCCCAGTTCCCCAAATCCCTAAATCTCTAAATTCCCAAATCCCCAAATCCCCAAATTCCCAAATTCCCAAATCCCCAAATCCCCAAATCCCCAAAAATTTCCAAATACCCAAATCCCCGAATCCCCAAATCCCCAAATTCCCAAATCTCCAAATTCCTAAATCCCCAAAGCCGGAAATCCCCGAATCCCAAGTTCCCCAAATCCCCAGTTCCCCAGTTCCCCAAATCCCTAAATACCTAAATTCTCAAATCCTCAAATTCTCAAATCTCCAAATCCCTAAATCTCTGAATTCTTGAGTCTCCAAACCTCCAAATTTTCAAATATCTAAATTCCCAAATCTCCAAATCCACCAACCTACATTCAAATCCGAATCCAAACGCACCTATATCCTCAAGTCCAATCAAACATCCACAAATTGTTACAGAGTACTGCAAATCGGCGCAACACCTTTGATGCATGCCTGCCAACAAGGCGACAGAGCAAGGGTTCTAAGACTGTTGAAAGAACAAGAAGACACGATCGGATACAGAGATCGCACCTTAAGGAGCGCTTTGCATTATTGCATGGATGCTGGAACCGGAGGTGCCGTCGCCTCGGCGGCACCGGAACTGGTCAACGCACCGGATGCTGAAGGACACACTCCTCTTCATCTGGCAGTGATCGCCGGCGACACGCAACTCGTGGCTGTTTTATTAGCGAACGGTGCCGATGTGAACGCCAAGGACTTGGAAGGACACAGTGTCCTTCATTGGGCTACTGGTACGTTTCCATTATTCTTACACGATCACGCGAAAATGCGTTTAAAAATTAAATGTAAATTACCGCAGGTTTAACTCTTTGCGTTATTACGTCAAAATTTCTTTTCAGAATATTCTGGGTCAGGGCCAGCATGCCATTAGAATTTATGGTCATTTCTAAATGTGCTGACCACTTCCGAGAATGTTTCTTTTGTTACGCCTTTTTTTGGCATGTAGAATCGATAGCGTGAAGGGTTAATTGCTTGTTTAAGTGAAAGGTTAACTGCGTGTCGATCACGCGTGCATAAGTGACATTTAAGTGGTAATAAATGAGCTGCTGTTAAGGGTGATGGCCGTCGGATTTTCTGTTTTTAATTATGGTGACTTTTGTTGAGACTTTTAATAAATTTCATTCAAGTGCTTATTTAATTTGTTATTATTTTAATTGGAGAACTTTTTAAAATTATGGTCTCTCGATTAAAGACTTTAATTAAATTAATATTTTAATTAGAGTTAATTTTAGAGTTAGAGGTAATTTTGATTAGAGAACTTAATTAAATTATGGACTTTTTATTAGAGAATTTAATTAAATGATAATTTTGACTAATACTTAATTAAATCATAGTAATTATAATTGCAGTATGTAAAAATTATCTAAGTCCGTAAATCCTGAAATTAAAAAATTAATAAACTACTAAATATTCACACTTTGTCAGAAGCGTATATTTAAAAATTATAAAACTTCTTAATTCGCAAATACATAAATTTCCAAATTAGACAATTTGTAAGTTTTATCTCCTCCAAAGAGTGACACCAACCATTGATAATATCGATGTCATGATCGATCGCGATCGGCTTAAAAATCACCATTTAAAGTAAAAATAGACATCCACAATTTCGACAAAAACCTTCTCGGTAAAAGTTTAATTCATAAACTAAGTTCACTTCTCAGAAGACTTCCAAAACTGTGAATTAACTAAGGTATCTTTTCTGTCGATCTCCGGTAAAGTAAGGAGCGTATTGGTCAGTTAAAGTTAGTGGGTCAGTTGAGGTGACGTCATTCCGGTTTGCCAAAGAACACGCAAGACTCAAGCCGAGATAATCCACGAGATTGACCATAGTCGTCCTTGGTGTATTCAAATGACCAAAGATTTATTACCTCACGCCGGAATTGCCTGGTCTTGTGTTCATTCGTCTGTTTTATGGTATCGAGAAAAAAAGTTCGCATCGATGATTCGATCTGCGCCTGGGTTGTCTTAATTATGAAGAAAGCAATTTCAGCGACGAAAGAAAGAAACTTCGCAAGATAACGTTCCCGACCTACTTGCCCACTTTATCGCTTAATATCAGCACGTCTTCGGTGTGTTCTCAATTTATATTGATAATATCTTATCTGTTATTATTAAACGTAATCTGAAGCCGGTTTTAGAGGATCTCGATTAGATTTTATTATATTTGATGTATTTGAGGGTTTGAAAAAAAATTCAGAACAGGAGGATCTTGATTAACTGATTATGAACGATAGAGTAAGGTAACTTGATCGTTTGGAGTTTGATTATCTGTATTTCTACATTGATTAATTTATTGTTTAATAGTTTTCACAATTTGTAAACTTTCATTTTCAAACTTCTACGTTTCTATTTTTCTGCATTTAAAAATTTTTAAATTTTTGTATTTCAAAATTTCAGTATTTCCATATTTTTAAGCTTCCAAATTAGCAAACTTCCAAATTCCCAAATTTCCAAATTCTCAAATTCCCAATTTCCCCAATTCTCAGTTTCCCAAATTCCAAATTTGCAAATTTTCAAATTTGCAAATTTCCAAATTCCCAAATTCCCAATTTCTCAAATTCTCAATTTCTCAAATTCCCCAATTCCCTAATTCCCCAATTCCCCAATTCCCCAATTCCCCAATTTCCCAATTCCCAAATTCCATATTTCTAAATGCCTATATTTCAAAATTTCATTGTTTTCAAATTTTAAACTTCCAAAGTACCAAACCTCCAAACTACCAAATTTCTACTCTTCTAAACTCTAAAGTTGCATAATTTCCTTTGTAAGTTTCAAACTTCCTAAATTTATAAATTTCTATATTTTTAAATTTGCAAGTCCCCAAATCTAAAAATTCTTAAATTCCAAAATTTTAAAACTTCAAAACATCCAACTCTCAAATTCCCCCATAAAAATTATTTCCATTCTTCCATTCTATTTCTCCTCTTACTTCTAATTTCAATTTTTCTTTCCTTTCTCTATTCTAATTAACCTATAACCTAACCTCTCAAACTCAACAAATCATCCGCCTTAATAACTAATATACTAAAAAAGCATTAGAAATACTTACTCACAGCATGAATTCTGCATTTGTTGTCTAGTATGTGGAGAAACAGAATGTGTTCGCCTGGTGTTAGCAGCAGGTGCTCGACCATCAACACCTGATCTTCGTGGTGGATCTCCTCTTCATTATGCTGCTCAGTGCTGCGGTGCAGCCGCTACTGCCGAGCTTGCGGTACCCAAAAAAGTTGGTTTGCGAGTTTTACAAACACTCTTAGAATTTGGAGCCGATGTGAACGCGAAAGATGAGGATGGAAGACAGCCGATTTTGTGGGCAGCGAGTGCTGGCAGCGTTGAGGCCGTCTTGGCTTTGGCTAGGTAGAACTTAATTTCCTTAATGAAAATAATTTTCTTCGGTCTTCAATTTCTTTGTGAAAACAAGTAATTAATTTTTTTTTCAATTTTCTGATGAAAACAGATTTTTCTTATTCTTCAGTTTTTTCGTGGAAATAGTTGTTTCCTATTCTTCAATTTTCTTTGTGGAACAAGAAATTTTTTCTTATTATAAATTATGGTGGTTTATTACATTATTACAACTGCGAACATAAATCAAGTGATATTAATGATTATTAAGACAAAGTTAGCAATCTTATTATAACGACAATTAATTTTAAAATGGAAGTCAATTTATTCATATTTTTTTTATTTTTACATCGTATAAACTGACTGCCATCAAAAGTAATGCCATCACACATATTTTTTCTATCATTTCTGTTTAATTAATATTGATAGTTTGTATATGCTTTGAAATTCCATGTACAATTTATTAAAATGTCTTGTACAATTGATTGAAACACACTGTATAGTTTGTTGCAACAACCTATAGAATGAGAATACCTCGTAGAATTTATTGAAACGTCTTGCGAGATTTAGTGAAACACGCAGTAATATTGATTGAAATACATTACACATAATTTATTGGAACGACCTGTAGAATTTATTGGAACACCCTGTAAAACTGACTAGAACACCCTGTAAAATTTATTGAAACGTTCTGTGAAATTAGTGAAACACGCAGTAATATTGATTGAAATACATTACACATAATTTATTGGAACGACCTGTAGAATTTATTGGAACACCCTGTAAAATTGACTAGAACACCCTGTAGAATTTATTGAAACGTTCTGTGAAACTTAGTGAAACACGCAGTAATATTGATTGAAATACATTACACATAATTTATTGGAACGACCTGTAGAATTTATTGGAACACCCTGTAAAATTGATTAGAACTCCCTGTAGAATTTATTGAAACACTTTGTAAAATTTATTCGAACAGCCTATAAAGCTTATTGAAACACCCTACAGAATTTACTTTAACACTGCGTAGAATTAAATTTCCAATCATAATTATTATAAATAAAAAGATGATTGTTAAAAACAGAAAATTTCTAAACATGGCTGTTTTGTTATGTGATTTCATATACTAAAAACAATAATTAAAATATAGAGCAGGTGGTTCAGCTGCCGCAGGAGCTGCAGACAAAGATGGCCTCACAGCTCTGCACTGTGCCGCGTCCAGAGGACACGCAAGATGTGTTGAAGCTTTGATAAACCTTTGCGGTGCTCATCCAGATCATGTTGATGATAATGGATGCTCGGCTCTGCATTATGCTGCCACTCTCGGTCATGCTGATGCCACGGCTTTGATTCTTAAATTGGGAGCTGATCCTAATCGTCAGGATCGGAAAGGAAGAACGTAAGTGTTGGAAAATTTTAAAGTGTAATTGTTAAAATTGTTAAAATTAAGTCAGAATCATTGAAAAAGTCATGAAGTTCCAAATGAAAAGAAGATGAGAATATATAATTGTGATTAGAATATTGTATTCAAATGGTGACCTAACCTAACTTTTGTACACTATGTATAATATTATGGCCTCTTATATGTTCTACATATTTGACTCATCAAATTTAAACATTGTATTATAAATATCGACATTTTCAAAGTTTCACATTCTCAAGTTTTCAAATTTGTTAATACATAAATGGCCGAATTTATAAATTCTGAATTATCCAAATTTTCTAGTTTTCAAATTTCCAGATGCATAAATTTTCAAATTCTAAATTTCCAAATTTCTAAATGTATAAATTCTCAAATTTACAAATTTCGAAGGTTTCGAGTACATAAATTTTCGAATTCTCACATTTCCAAATCTCCAAGTGCGTAAATTACCAAGTTTCCAATCTCATCAATCAATTTACGAATCTTCAGAAGTTTCAAATCCTTCAATCCTGAAATTCCCGAATTCTGAAATTTCCGAATTTCCAAATTACCAAAAATCATACATTACGTCGACCATTGACACTATTACTAAAACTAGCAGATTAGTTGCTATTAATGTACCTCTCCTACACCAAACTCCTAATTATCTAAAATCCAATGAACTGCTAATTACCCAAACAATAATATTAAATAACAATACGAATTATACAATAATCAACTTCTTCCTTCTCTAACCATCAAAAAATAAGTGAGTACTCGAGTCTTTCTAAACACTAGACCACAATACATTAAATGACTCCCACATGTATTTAATTTTCAAAAAATTTCTAACCTTCCAGCCCAGCACTTTGCGCAGCAGCCAAAGGTCAACTAGAGACGCTAAAAATTCTTGCGCAACATGGCGGTTCCCTCTACGCAAGAACCGTTCGAGGAACAGGGGTAGCCCACGAAGCCGTGGCATCCGGTAGAATCGAGTTAATAAAATGGCTGGCGAAGAAACGTCCTAGCACTTTAGACGTCGCCACGCACGATGGCAAAACACCGTTACACGTGGCGGCTCTTCATGGACATCTAGACGCGTGCAAAGTCCTTTTAGACAATGGTGCAAGAATTAATGCCGTGCTTCGAACCAGCAAGGGAAACTTGATGACTGCTTTGGACGCAGCGTTGTACAGAGGTCACAGGGACTGCGCAAAATTAATTCAAATGCATGGAGGTACCACGGCGCAGCAACTGAGGATGCAGAAGACTGTGCCGAACAAAGGTCAGGTTAGGTACATACGTATTTACTGAGACTTTTTCAGATGTAGTTTGGTAATACTTGTATGTTGAATGTGACACTTTGTGAAATCTGTAATTGATACAAATTATTATCGATTTCAAAAGTATTCGTATTTTAAGGGAAAGTTGTAGTTAAGAGGAAGCTTGAGTTTCCTAAAAAAGTATGGCGGCGAAGGAGTGAGAGGACTTTTATTAGTTGAATTTTTAAGGATGTAAAAATTTGGAGATATGTTAATTAATGATCTTAGGAATTTGGGAACCTAGAAATTGGGGAACATAACAATTTAAGGGTGCTGGAATTTAGGGATCTTGAAATTTGGAAACGTAGGTAATTGGGGATTTACAGATATGAAAATTTAAGGATTGAGGAATTCACAAATTTCGGAGTATAAGGAATTGGTGAGCTAGAAATTTGGAAATTTACAAATTTGGAAATTTAGGAATTTAGAAGCCTAAGAATTTGGGATTGTAGAAATTTGGGAACCCAAAAATTTGACAATACAGAAATTTGAGAATCTGAGAATTTGTAAACTTAGGAATTTGGAGACTTACGATTTTGGGGATTTTCAAATATAGAAATCTAGGGGCTTGGTTTAGAAATTTAAAAACTTGAATATTTAGGAATATAGGTATTTGGGGATTTGAAGTGTGGAAATTGAGAATTTGGAAATCTTTCAAAATTTGTAATCATTGAAATTCTTAAATTTAAAAGCTAACAAAGTAAATTTGAAAACTAGAATATTTGAAAATATGCAAGTTTAGAATATCGTAAACAATGGGTCATATATTTATAAAAATAGTATTGAATATTGATGTTTATGAAATTGTAAACAAATAGCAATATCTACTGAATATCTTATGTAATGATTTGCCATCAGTGCTGCATTGTATTTGTATTAACGACTATCATTCGTAATAAAACAATACTGAACATAATATCGTATTATAAATTTTTAACATTTCACATGTTCTAAATTATCACTCTATTGATTTCAGTATTCGCAGCGAAATTGCGAATGAGGCACATGGACAGTAGCACCGATACCGAGAGCAGTCCTCGTAGACGTAGTTACAGTCATAAACTTCCGGAATTGTACTACGAAGAACAATGGATAGAAAAGAGAACTCGACGGAGAGGAAATTTGAGGAAATTAGCGCGTCAAGATAGTCGAAGTTTCAGCGAAGAAGAAGTTAGGTTGTCGAAAACGTCTTCGAAGAAGGATCATCAAAGAAGAGCACGCAGTGAATCGGCACGGTAAAATGTTCCCTAACTTTAATTTATTTGAATTATTTGCTACTTATCTATAATAAATACCTGATTATCTATGTCCCTAGATTGCCACATACCTCAAAGTTCAAATTTCCTGAATACAATAACAAATTAATTTAAGCGGAACACAACAAAATGATGAATACCAAAGATTTTAATTAAACGCCTAAATGTTCCAGATACGAAGAGGGCCACAAGTTAAGAAGAAAAAGAAGTAAAAAACGGTCGACCAAATCCAAACATTCCAGCGAGTCGTCCATAGAGTCAGACAGTTACGAAAACGCAGCAGACACTTCCAGGCAAAAATACGAGTCGCGTGACAGTAAATCGAACAAAAGCAATGGTACCGAAGACAGGGAAGAATCAAGAAGAGACGACGAAGAGGACGAGAGCGTGAGCGACGACAGCCTCGAAGTAGTGGTGGTAAGAAAATCGTTGGAGAAAAAATGTGAGAAAATGGTGTCCGGAAGAAGATCGAAAACACCACGAGAAAGTTCGAAGGAGACGAAGTTCACGAAAACTCGTCGCAGCACGAGAAGAAAGTCAAAGTCGAGCAGACCGAAAACGTCTGAGAACGGCGAGAGCACGACCGATCGAATGCAATCCTTCGACAAGGAACAAGGGTCAAAGGAGTCCGAGTTCCAAGCGCAAGAAACGCCGAGGACCTCGATGGAGGAGGACAAAGCGAACGGAGGTAAAATAATCGAAAATCGGTATCGCAGAGATGTGACTGACAGCACCAGTCAGGAAACCGTCGAACGAGTTATAGTGACCGCCATGGTACACAAGGACCAAGGTCCAGACACACCTAAATCTATAATAGAGACCTCGAAGGAGGTCACTTTTGATGACAGGTTAAGAACGGAAACGATAGAGATTGAGCAAGTGGCCAAAGACGCAACTAGCGTGAACAAAATGGACGACATCGTTGAGCAAAGCGACGAGTCGCGTAGTAATCTGGTAACGAAGGCTGCTAGTTTGAGGAAGGACGTAGAAGAAATGAGGCAGCAGGCTATATTAGAGAAGACGCAAAGGGAGGAAGACGTAAAAAGGGAGGAAAAAGAGAAGAAGGTGATGGAGAGTCGAGATGATCAAAAGGATGGACAAGTGAGTGAAGATGTGGAGAAAGATGTAAAGGTAGATCAGGATGAGAAAGGTGAAGTGTCCTCGAAGGAAGAGAAAGAGGCGCAACAGGATAAGGGAGAAAAAGGTAAAACTTAGAACGTAGAAAGTGATAAATAGTTTTTGTGATAAATATTGTTTTAATTTGATACGTGATGATAATCGAGATGAAAGGTTTGAATTCTGAAATGCGTTAGGAGGATTTGAGAATTTTGAATGTTTGGTTATTTAGGTATTTGTATGCAACAGAATTTGGAGATTTGGGATTTTGGTCCCATTGGCGATGTGATAATTTGAGAATATTGAAAGTTTGAACATTTGGGTACTTGATAAGAGTGAAATATAAATATTTGTGGGGGCTGCAAATTTAAAAAATTAGGAGATGTGGTAATTTTGATAATTCAGGGATATGGTACCTTCGGAATTTAATAATTTAGGGGTTTGATAGTTTAGGGATTTGATAATTTGGGGGTTTGATAATTTAGGGATTTGATAATTTAAGGATTTGGTAGCTTAGGGATTTGGTAAATTGGGGTTTTGATAATTTAGAGATTTGATCATTTTAGAATTTTGTAATTTAGGGATTTGATAATTTAAGGATTTGATAATTTAGGGGTTTGGTAATTTGGAGATATACCAATTTGGAAATTTAGGATTTCAACAGTTTGATAGTTTGGGAATTTTGGTAATTTAAGGATTTAGTCATTTAGGGATTTAATAATTTAGTTATTTAGAAATTTAGAAATTTAGAAATTTAGAAATTCATAAATTATGGCTTTGAAAAACTTTGGAAATTTGAAGATATAGTTACGTGGAAATTTAGGTATTTGATAATTTTTAAATATTTGGTAATTGTGACACTGGATTACTTAGATATAAGCAAATATAGGGACTCGAAAATTTTGATTTTCAGAGAAATAGGGAAAACTGAAAAACGGAAAAAATTTAAGAAAGTTTTAAAATTGAAAAAAATGAGGAAAATGTGGAAATTGTGGAAATAGAGATAATTGAGAGAATTAAAGAAATTGAGGAAACTTAGAAAATTCATAAAATTGACGGAAACTAAACAATTTTAAAAATTTAGAAAATTTAGAATATTCAGAGAATTTAGAAAATTTTTGAGATTTTTTATATTTAAAAAATTTGAGAAATTTTAAAACTGGAAAAGTGAAAGTATGAAAATTTGGAAATTGTAGAGCTTGATAACTTTGAAATTTCTGAGTTTGAAAATTAGAAATTTTAAAATCGTAGAATTCGTAAATTTGTTAATTTGATAATCTAGTCATTTAGGACTTTAAACGTTTCTTAAACATTTTTAAATTTAAAGATCTATAAATTTAACAAATTAAAAATTCGAAAATGTGAAATTTAAAAATTTTTAAATTTCGAAATATCTAATAAACAGTGAATACACTATAGATACAATAGTAGATACAAAAGTAAATTCTGGTGTAAATTCCATACAAAACTTTGCTATATCTTAAAATCCCATCCCACGTTTATACCAATCAAACTTGTAGCTTTTAAAAATTTTCTATCAATTTTCTGTAGAGTCCTCTTTCCAGGCAGGTTAGACGCACACAAGCCAACCGAATCAGAAAGTGCCTCGGATTCTCAGCAACAACCGAGTCAACAAGAAGACTCAGCCTCGAAGTCCATAAAACCTGACGAGAATCTCGACCAAGATACTCACAGCGAGAAAACTGACATGTCCGAACACACGTTGAAAAAAGACCACGACGATTCTGAAGAAACAAGAAAATCAAGCCAGAAAGACTCCCAAAGCGAAGCTACCACACCGAGAACAGCTGTCGAAGACGTTCCACCGTCAGAAGACGAAGACAAGAAATCCACGTCAGAGGACGCCAAAAGTAAACCAAAACTCAAATCCGAAACTGATAAAAGAAGAGCATCCACCGACGAATCTAAATCCAAATCTTCATCCTCGAAATCCGATGAGAGTCCCAAAAAGAGTGGCAGCAGTCGAAAGAGAAGAGAAGCCGGTAAAAGACGAGAATCTATCTCGAAGAAGGTCTCCGTGAAAATTTCAGAGAAGACAAGAAAGTCGTCCGTGGATGAAACGTCAGAAACCCAGAGAATTGAAGAAAATGTTACTGAAAGCGAAGTGAAGGAGGAAGTAAGTACGGTACAGAAGAGTTTGAGCAAAGAATCGGATGAGAAAGAACAAACTGATAGTGCGCTGAGGAAATCGGTTGAATTTTCGGAGACATCGAAAGAAGAGGACAAGTCGGTGATGGATGCATCGAGTGTTTCGAAAAGGAGGATGTCTGTTGAACAGGAAGCTGTTCAAGGAACACAGGTGCAGGAGCAAAAGGATGAGGAGGATAAAAAGGATAAACATCCGGTGGAAGATGCATTGGCGACAGGTGAGTTGTTAAGATTATTCTTCAATTTTTATGGATGAATGTTCACATCGAGTTTTTGGTATAATAGATTTGAAGTAGAGTAAAATAAATATGTGGACCATTAGATGAAGGAGGTATACAGAAGTTTTCTACTTATAGAAGTTAATGTGGCTCATTAATTAACAATTAATAATTCCTTCAATATAACCCTATATTTCAAAGTTAAAAAAATTTCACAGTTTCAAAGATCAAAAATTCAAAAATTCCTAAGTTCCAATATTTCAAAAGTTTTAGAATTTATAAATTCCCAAATGATAAAATTTAAAAGTCTCACTGTTTCAAGATCCAATCTCACTATTTCAAGTTCCAAAATCTTACAATTTCAAGTTTTCAATAGTTCCAGAATTCAATGATTCCAAAATTTTCAATTCCGATATTCCGTAGTCTTATAATTTCCAAATTCCCAAAGTTTCAAAGTTACCAAGATCTTAGAATTCAAAAATTTCAAAATTGAAAATCTCAAATTTCTAAAGTTCCAAAACTATAAAATTCCATAAAGTTCCAATAATCCCACAATTCAGTAATTAAAAAGCTTTTAAATCCAAAAATTTCAAGGTTTCAAAGTTATAAAACTCTAAAATTCTAAAATTTTTAATTCTCAGAAATCCAAAAATCCAAAGATCCGAAGATCCAAAGATCCAAACATCCAAAGATCCAAAAATCCAAAAATTCAAAGATCTAAAGATCCGAAGATTCAAAAAACTGGAAATCAAAAAATCTGAAAATCTAAAAATGCAAAAACTCAAAATTTCAAATTTCCCAAATTCCAGAATTCTAAAGCTACAATACCCCATAATTCAAAAATGAAATGAGATACACACGACACAAAAATCGCTAAAATATTTTTATCTCCTCAATGCCTCAACTTTCCATCAAATCATCCACATTCTTCCAGAAGGAGAAAGTTTTCGATACATCGACGAAAGCTCATCAAGTTCTCCAAAATCGGCGCAGGCGAGACGATCCAGACCTTCGACAGGCAAGCTCAGAAAAGGTGGACGATCAGTTTCTAAATCCTCATCGAAAAAGTGCTTATTCGAAAGTTCCGAAGAACGTTCTCCTGATAGAAGCGCTATAGTTGCGGTGATCGAGAGTCCAGAATGGGACGAAGAGGACGAAGAAATCGAGAAAGAGATCAGAGACGCTATTGGAGACGATGGTGAACACGAAACGGAACCGGAAGAAGATAATGAAATTGGTGTTGTGAGAGTTTTACCGAGTACTAGTGAAGAGGAAACTTCTCGAGGTGGTCCTGAAACTTGCAGAACTACGGCTGGAGACTCGTTGCCTCAGGTAAAGAATTTTTTCAAAATTATTAAATAAGTTAAGTTTGTTGCGGAACGTAGTGATGCTGAGACGACTTGATTTGTGTTTGTTTATTTGTCTGCACCACGCTACAGGTCTTTTCACTTGAAATTTTTAGACTTGTAACACTTTACAGCTGCATAGATTTTGGTGGCAATTCGACGACAGGAATCTGTTGTTCGTCGATTGTCGCCGAAATTATAAATACCGTGTTTCAATATCATATTTGATAGCTTTTTACACGTAGAATCGACTGGAACCACGTTAAAAGCTTTATGTATGTATAACTCATCGTTGACGACAATACTTGGTCGTCATTGACGTGAGTCGTCGTGAAATCTACAATAATCATGTTCAATAACTTCTCAATAATTTCAGACACATTTAATCGTTTGTTATGACTTCAAAATCTCTATATTTCATTTTTATTCTACCTGTATATATTTACAGTATGTTCTCCAAATTTTAAGTATAAATATTCGAATTCATGTGAGACACCTGGTCCTCACAGAACTACGAGTTATACAAAGACTACTAGTTGTATAAAGTGTATATGTAAAAGTTTATAAGAATAGAAGTATGTAAAATGTATATGCTAAATTATTTTTTAATTGTCTTATACAGGTGCAATCCGGTAGCCGTACTCGCCTCACACGAGTTCAAAGTCCGCCAGAAAGTAGAACAAATCGACTGCAAGGAAAACAACGACGTGACAGCGGTGGCCGAGATAGCGGAATAGAACCCAGTCCCAGAGTATCAAGAATACCAAGAAGAAGAATTATGAAATGTTGTCCAAACAGTGCGAAACAACAGGCACTTAACATGGACACCATTACGAGAGACGTACAAATTAGCTTGCGACGATATCATCTTGAAAGGAAAATTTTCTTTCAGTTGATGGAATTGAAGAGACTGCAGATACGCCATGGAAGAGCGAATGAACAGGTTTTGGTTAAGAGACAGGTAATAATTGTTAGAGTTAATGTATTTGGAATGGTGAAAGTAGCAGTAAATATAGTACTCTCGTTATATTGCATGTTATATGACTATGGCAGTTTAAGGGACGCAAGAAAAAAGGAAAGTAGAATATCTACATGATAAGAGTTAAATGTGATAAAACTGTCAAGATTATAAATTGAGAAATTATTAAATTTCTAAAAAGTGAGTTGTTAGATTATTAAATTTTCCAGTGTTTAATTTTTGAAGTACTAGGTTTAATTTTCGTAAATATTTAAATATTTTAATTTGTGTATCTGTCCACATTTCCAAATTTCTAAATTTCCAAATCTCCAAAATTTCAGTTTCAAAATTCTCAAACTCCTAAATTTACAGATCTTCCAATTTTCAAATACCAAATTCTCAAATTCCTAAATTTCCCAATTTTTCAAAATCTACATTTCTAAATCGGGATTTTCAAATTTTACAAAACTGTGGGAACTAGTCCACTCTAGTTAAAACTCCTAGTTGCATCTCTTTTAAACTCTTAACGGTACAATATGACGAGAGTTTACATACTATTTTTCCCAGAACTTAAAATTACTGTTCAATGTCTTTAGACATATTCATTCGAACAAAATGCAATCTTATCCCATTGTAATATTTATAATCAATTTAAACAAATTTATTATTACATATTCACATATTTTTACAGGTAGATGCATTCCATAAGGCTGGTATGTCTGGGCCCACCCTCGGAGTAGCAAAATATGACCAACCCTTAACGTTTAGGTCATTATTCATAAAATATTAAACTTCTCTAATGATCTTCATAATTTATATGTCATGACAAATTTACTGTATTTTAAAATTCATTATTTGACATTCGACAAAGTATTAAATTAACTCTTTGCACTCGGAGGTATTTTTGTTATTGACGTCTTGCAAATTTGCAAATGGCGACTTTAAAACCTTCTGATCGAAAAATTTGATGACGTTCTTTAAAGTTGTTATTTTTCTATTATTTCTATAATTGTCACTTCTGTCTGTTTCACTATGTTTATAGATCACATATATAACGCTATAAATTAGTTAAAAAATAATGATTTTAAATTGCTCTATTAAACCGAATTTTGAGTGTGTCACCTTTCGAGTGCAAAGGGTTAATTGTAGAAAAATAAAAAATGAAAGTAGTTTAATAAAATAATAGAACGCAAAAGCAATTTAATAGAATAGTAGAACATTAAATCAGTGTTTTGCTAATAGTAGTATTTTGCTAACAGTAGAAATGAAAGTAGTATTTTGTCAGAGTACATAGCACATCAATTTAATGAACACTGTTACAAAATCAATACTTAACTAGTTGAACGTTTTTATTAGGCACTTCGAGGCCTTCTTATACGACCAACTCAGAAAGCTTCAAAAAAGACCAGCTACACCAGACTTTTGTACGGAAGCAAAACAATGTACTCAGAAGACTCATCGCTGTCATCATGCTACAAGTGCTTACACCTCTTTTCCTGCGTATACATATCGTACGTTTTAGTGTCTTGTTAAAAATGAATTTCAGAATTCCATTTCAGAATAGTTTCTTAAATTTTATGTTGCTAAAGTAAACGATTCGATTTTTGAATATACAAGAGATAGTTCGATAATATATTTTTTTATCAAAGTATATAGAGTTTTACATAAGACAGACTGTTTAGATTAGGTTTAATATGTAGTAAATTGGTAAAAATGAAATAATGGACCATGCTTATTAGTGGATACATTTATCTTGTTCATATATTTAATACTTCTGAAATGGAATACTGAATGCAAGAATTGAATTCAGAAGAATTTCAAAAGGAGTCAGTTTCCCTATTGTGATTGTAGATTATAATTGCAGTAGGTGGAGGCGGCCAAGAACAAGCGGATCTTCTTCCGAAGATAGAGAGCCGTGGAAAGGGACAGATGACGGTAATATTCAAATACCTCAATAAATATTAATCTTAACTATATCGAGAAGCCATTCTGGACAGAAAGTTTCATTATTGTGATCTTATGTTTTTGATCTTTCTGAATTTCCTATAAATAATGTTAATAATGAAATAAGTTATTAATACCACATTATTTTGTTAGCAGCCCTTTGAACAATATTATGAGCTGTTTGTCGTGTTTTTTTTTTATTTTTATTAATTATCAATTTAATTGAAACTTGAAAAATGGTAAACAGTCAGAGTTATAAAATATATTTATTTCATTTTGATAAAAGATATTTCAATATTTTTTTTCAGGTGGAAGTAACGCACGGGGAAGAGAAGCAGATAATAGCTCTTCCAGCTGAAAAGCTAGATCGTACAAAAAAATATTACGTGACATTCACTGTCAGAGGAGAAGCTTCCTCCGAAGAAAAGTCGAAATCGTCGCTTGGTATCCAAAGAAATGCCAAAAGTGTTTAAACTGTCTTCAATTATACAATAGACTCTCGTTATATCGCCATGTTTACAATATCCTAATACACTGGTGACTCTCGCCACCATAGAATACAGAGATAAAAAAACTTACAATTCACAAACAAAATTAAAAAACTTGCAATTTACAAAAAAAAATTTTTAACTTGTAACTTACAAAAAAATGTTAAACTTGTGATTTACAAACAAAATGTCAAAACTTGTAATTTACAAACAGCATTTCAAAACTTGCAATTTACAAACAAAATTTAATAATTTGCATTAAAAAATTTTGAACAATTTAATATATTATCGAATGCAAATACATATAAATTGTAGGAGATGGTAATATAACGAGAGTGTACTGTACCTCGACTTCCCATTTCGACGATATCAACTGTATCATTCGATACAAATATTTGAAGGTGTTTCTATACTTTTCTACACGATTTTTTAATCCTTTGTTACAGTCGCGATTAGCTGCGGTTCTTTTATATCGGTTTTTCTACGACTTTCAGCACCCATTTCGTGACGGAATATTGTTATTTTTCATATTGCAAAATAATGAGACCATGTAAGGATTTTATAACTGCCACAAGAGAAAGAAATGTACTCGTGCGTAAATTCGTATGAAAATGTACTTTGTGTGAAGGGAGATGTTGAAAAATTGTTGTTTTTGAACATTCTTGGCGTTCAAAATGTTTTTATAGGATATTTAAGAGTATTTTTGTAAGTAAATTTTAATTTCAAATTTACTAATTTGGAATTTTTAAATTAGCAACTTGTCATATTGTGAAATTAAAAAATTTTCAAGTACTTAAATTTCTGGATTTAAAAATTTCGAAATTCTAATCATTTGGAATTCATAAACTTTGGAATTTCTAATTTTCCGGATTCTCAGTTTCCTGATTTTCCAATATCCCGAATTCCAAAATTTCAGAATTCCTAATTTTCCAATTTCCCAATCTTCCAAATTCTCAAATTTCCGAATTCTTAAATTCCTAAATTCTCAAATTTCCAATTTCGTAATTTCCTAATTTTCAGTTTCGTCATTTCCCAATGTCCCGAATTCCCAAATTTCAGAATTCCAAATTTTCCGAATTCTCAAATTTCCAATTTCCCAATTTTCCGAATTCTCAGTTTCCCCAGTTCCCAAATTTCTTATTTCCCAAATTTTCCAATTTTTTTCAAGTTTCTAAATCCTAAAATTTCCAAATCTCCAATTTGCAAATTTTTACACTTTGATCACATGCTTCTTCCCACCTGCTCAATTCAATCTATTCAAACATAAATTAATTTATTAGCAGAATTTTAGAAGAACTAAAGAAAATAAAGGTTAAATAGTTTTAACTATTTCATATTTGCTCTTATAACATTGTTCTTCTAATGACACTCTTAAATATCCTACAATAATTTGCATTCACAAATATGTTCAAAGACATCAATTTTTTAACATTCTCCTTCGATAAACTTTGTTGTAAAAATGTTAATAATCTTGTTGTACAATGAATTACGTGAAAAAATGATGAAGTCTTGCTTTTGAACTATAAAAATTTAACTATAAAATTATAATATGGAAACAAAGTTCTATATAATTGTTTCAAATGATATCGATACAACTTTCGATTATCATTTGTTTAATTTTATTTAAATAATATTTGAATTATACTATATTTAGGATCTGGAGAAATGATCAAGTTCATCGTATGTGTACAATAATATATATTTTGTTCTTGCAAGAGCAGGGACCACGTGGTAATTAACGCATACATGTTCTGTATATTTGTGTAAATGAGACCACTGCAAGTAACGTGTACGTAATTCTGTGTAAAATAAATAAACAAAAAATCACGTTTCATCTAACTCTGATCTAACTTTTTGAATTCCCAGGTGTAAAAATTAATTAACTAATTTAATAGTAATTAAGAAATTTCTGTAATTACTTATAATAATCAATTTAATAGAAATTAATAAATTTTTGTAATAATTTATGTTTTTATTCTGTTTAAATTATTATTTATTATGTTATTTATTATTTATTATTAAAATTATTACTCAAATTATACTTAGAACTTTAGTGATTGTTCTGTTATATTTATTTTATAAGAAACACTTATATTATCGTGGAAATAATTAAATTAATAGCATTTAATAAACTATTACAATACCTTATTTTTTTGTTATATTTAAAGTATAGTTATAATCATTGTTTATGTAATTATAGAATCGTTTTAATTATTGCTTTGTTAGATTCATCTAATAATTTAAACTGTGAATGCAATAATCAAATAAGACTTATATTAAATAAACTTACTTGACAAAAATCCTCCCCTGATAAAATACATTTTTTTAAAGTTATAAAATATATTGACTAAATAAGTAAAACAAGTATACATTTGTAGTATTGTCTTACATAAAATAAAAACAAGAAATAATTAAAAAAATGTATATTATATTTTATTTTGTATATTTCTTCACAATTCAGCACCAGCTTCACCTTCATATTACATATTTCTCCCTCAAGTAAATATTAACCAACAATGATGACAAAACCATTCTAAAGTAATCAATCAAATTTTCACATGTATAATTTATACTAACCTCCTATCAGCAATCATTTATAAAATTAAAAACTAATCCATCAAATCTCACAAACGGTTTCCGGTAATTCACCAATATTCAACAAAATAAAACACCCCCTAACAATTTTCTAGTCAAAAGAACCTCTACACATAAGCACACATTTCCTCCATCAAACATTAACAATACTGTCGCAATATTCTAAAAGAGACTTCTACATTTTAACCAATAAATCAAATTATCGCGTCGTAACCAAACGTTATAAGATAATTACAATCGCAGCTGAACAAAACTCCATTTTATTCCTTCAACTACATTCTTTATAAATAATGTCGCCCAAAGGTGCTGACATCAGAACGATTCGACAAGTGTATTTGTTCCCGACATGTACCGAATTATCGATCAGGGGGCTGTGACGTAGCCAAACAAATGGTAGAACAAGTCTGATCCTCTCGATTCACTGGTGAAACTCTGCACTGTCAGTAATACATCTACCACAGGGTGGTTCGTCAATGATGCCGACACTTCAGACGCGATTAATAAGGAACAGAGTGAAGTTGTTAATCATGCACCTGAAATATTCCATCGAGCAGACGAGATTCTTGTGAAGAGGCCTTCGCATGGACAAATGGCTCCAAGATAGGAAGCTCTGGCTTTTTGGTAGCACACTTCCCTTGCTGCCAAGGAGGTAAACACTTACGATTTTACCCCGCGTTCGCACGGTATGTTGTCATATAAATAATTTGTGGAGTAATCGAGGTATGGGGGTCGGATAGACTTAATTTTGGTGAAAATGAACGATTTTGGGATGGTTTGTTTTTAATATGTTGAATGTGGAGGTTATTAGCAGGGACGAAATTTTTTGGAAATTTGGGGATTTTGGGATATGGAGATTTTGGGATTGGGGGTTTTTGGGATTTGGGATTTTGGGATTGGGGGATTTTGGGATTGGGGGATTTTGGGATTGGGGGATTTTAGGATTGAGGGATTTTGGGATTGGGGGATTTTTGGGATTGGGGGATTTTGGGATTGGAGGATTTTCGGATTGGGGGATTGGGGGATTTTGGGATTGGGGGATTTGGGGATTGGGGGATTTGGGGATTATGGGATTGGGAGATTTTGGGATGAGAAGATTTTGGGATGAGAAGATTTTGGGATGTGAGAATTTTGGGAGGTGGGGATTTTGGCATGTGGGGATTTTAGGATGTGGGGATTTTGGGATTTTGGGATTTTGGGATTTTGGGATTTGGGAATTTGGAAATTTGGGAATTTGGGAATTTAGGAATTTAAGTAATTTAGGGATTTGAGAATTAAGGAATTTGAGAATATGAAAATTTGAGAATTTAGGAATTTGGGAATTTGGGAATTTGGGAATTTGGGAATTTAGGAATTTAGAATTTAGGAATGTAGGAATTTAAGAATTTAGGAATTTAAGAAATGAATAATTAAGAAATTTTGTGATTTGAACATTTGGAAATTTAGGAAATAGATAATTTAAAAATTTGTGAATTTGTAGCTATGGTAGTTTTGCAATTTAAGCTTTCTGCAGTTTTATAGAATCTAGAAAAGTGATCATTTTGAAATTTGAAATTTTAGGAAAGTGTTAATTTTGAAATTGGAGAATTTAAGAAAGTGTTCCTTTTGAAATTTGAAAATTCAGAAAACTAATAATTTTGAAATTGGAGAATTTATAAAAGATTTCATTTTAAAATTTGAAAATTCGCATATTTAAATGCCTAGAAATTTTCAAATTTGTAAATTTGTTAATTTGGTTAATTCTTAACACCGTAATTACACACACGGTAAATTCTCACATGCAGAATTCCCCACATACTTCACACAACTAATGTCGCCCCTGATCATCTATGACCGCGAATTTAACCTTCAAAGTTTGGAAGGTGAATTCTATTTTTAGTCCACAAAATATTTTCACTTTAAAACATCATACGTTTTGAATAACGAATAACTCTTCATTCCTGAATCGAAATTTAATGTTAGAATAAAAATTGAAAATATTTTTCTCATAAAATTTTCTTCTCACGGATTTCTTCCTATTTTTAACTTAACCTAATCATGAAAGTTTAAGATAATTTTTTACAAAGTTTACAAACATTTTTTTTGTATTCAGAATTAATATTTCCTTCCTATATAAAATAGTTTAATACAATAATACAATACATAGTATTTTATTAATCATAACTAAAAATTGATAATTTTATAATTAATAAAATTTGTCAAAAATATTTCTTATTTTTGTTATTACAACTTTTTATCGTATATTTGTAAATGTTACTTTTTGATATTATATCATTTTTCTTGAAAAAAATAAATCTTTATTAAACAATGATATATTATTTTTTTTCTAATTAACTTTCTTTATTATTAGAAGAGAAAATATTCATTTAATATTATTTTCTTATTACTGTCACTTTCGGTAAAAAATTTCTGTTCTACCTTTTTAAAATCGAGGTTACAGTTCATTAATAACTTCAATAACAGTCGACGTGTTAAAAAAACAACAGAATTAAGTACAATAACGATATCCGAAGATTTCTTTGCAGAATAAACGACTTTGACATTGAGTGGAATCGATCGGTATTTGTTACATCATTTTTAACACGCAAAACACGTCATTAAATATGTACAGTTGATGTATCAACAGGAGAACCAACTTTTACTAGCTTCTTTGTAACTTTACAGAATGCGGTGTTTCTGAAAATCTGATATTCAATACGTAGCATATGTATATATTATCATAATTGTTACTTGTGGGAGAAATTATTACCTGTAAACTGGCATTAACTTTGTTGAACATCAAGAAATTGTTAAAATTATATAGCAGATCGTTCACAAGTTAAATTCTGATTTAAATAAAATCAACAAATTAACTCAAATGAAATTTCAGTTAATTTAAACAAAATTTAAAAATTGATCCAATTATTTTTGCAAGAGTTTTGGGTAAATTTTAACAAGGTTATGATACTTTGAATTTTAACAACTTTTGAGTAGTATTTGATTAACTACAAATTTTTACAATAAGTTTTGTATGTAAATTTGTATATTTTTGAATTTTATTAACAAAAGAACTTCTTGGCGTTGCAAGGTCAGCAACAATACAACAAATCTTGAATGTGTCTAAACAAGCTAACAATAATATTTTAATGAGTGACGATATAATTACTGGAAAATTACATAATTTTGTGTAATACTAAAATGTTAAATTTTACAAAACAAATTAGTTTGTATAATTCTCATAAATATAAATAATACTAATAATGAGGAATATATATAAATATCAAGAATTTTTAGCAACGAAATAATAGCTTCAAGAAATCATCTACCACAACAAGAATTAAAGAAGAATTACAGAAGAATTAAGAAAGAATTGCAAAAGGTTAAAAAAGAATAAAACTGCAAGAAAACTCGAGTAATTAGAACGAATAGAACCATGTTCCACTATGATATTATCTTCCGTATAATTGCAATGACATTTCTAAAGAGTGCAATTATATGTATATCTCGTGTGACTATACTTTTTCCTGCATCGATCGATTTTTCACTACTCTGCGTGCACAAATATCGAGATACGGAAAATGAGTACTCAGCAAAGTGTTGAAACGTCGCAAATCATGAATCTAGTTTGACCCGAATGGAAAATGAATATTTTACAACGTACATCTTATCGTGTTTTGCAAATATCTTTTTATTAAAATTGTTACAATCTTTTTTATTAAACTCAATATAGAATCGTTCGATTTACTGTTAATATGGATGGTTTTTATTATTATTGCTTCAGCCATCTTATTGATAGTGAAATAAGTAAAATCAAAATGGCGCGTTCTTCACTCTTTTAATTTTTGAGTAGCAAACACAGGTCATTTAAGACATCGACTTTGAAGGTGTATTATATGAAATTAAATTATTTTGTAGAATCTGTTAATAAATTACAATTTTTAAATGGCACAATAATAATTTTTAACTGACACAATATTAGTAATTAAGGAATAGCATATGATGCATACATTATATAGAAAAATAGTAATTACTCAATTACAGAATAAATGAATATATAATATTTACTTATCCTTGTATTATTATACATATGTTAGTATAATTATTCTTATTATTATTACTATTAATATTATTAATATTATTACGACATATTAGTATTACATATTATTACATATGTTTCATATTATTATTATTACATATTAGTGTAACTCAAAACTTAATATATCCATTATAATAAAAACAAAATATAACAATTTGCTTGCAAATATATACATAATAATTGTGATCATTGAACCACGTTTTACCTAACTAAACCTCAAAATTCAATTTCAAAATTTACTAAAATACCTTTTTCTACAATTATATCAATTTTTGTCAGTTTAAAGAAGAGTCATACATTATGTACATAAGCAAATTTATTTTCTACCCTTGTTCATTCATTTCCTTTTCTTCATTTATTCATTTTATTTTCAATTTTTACATCTTTATGAAGACCTAGTATTAATTTCTTTCTTTACAAGCACTAATTGTAGAATGAAAATTATTGAGAAGTAGTATACAATTTCATTAATAAAATAAATATTAAATATGATCTACATTTTTACAGTTCTATGTTATATTTTGATATAGTTGATATAATTTTATTAATTTTAATGTAAATTTATTAATATAATTTATTAAATTAATGCAATTTTAACATAAAGGTTCATATTACAATTTAACATCATATTTTTAAAAATACATACCACATACTTAACATACTAACAAACACTTTATTTGTTCATAATCAAATATTTAAATACAATACGTTGTCTCACACATGCAAATATACATCTCTGTTTTGTGCACAAGTTCTCATAACTCGCAAAATTTGAAAGAAATCTTGAAATACATTGATTCCAATCAAATTTTAGCAACATATCCATCCATGAGTCACGCCTGATTTAAAATAGGGTGACAACAGAAACCAATCCAAAGTTAAGCCCGTTTATTTTCAACTAAGAACAATTTAACCCTGTTCACGGTCGTTATTTAAGCATAGACAGTACGGTAGCTTGATATCGATTGTCAATAATCAAGAGTTCAACAACAACTTAAACTGACGTTTCAGTACAATTTAGTAACGCTCGGAATGTCCAACGTGAAGGGTGTTTCAAAGACACGATTCCATGAACTCCATTCTAGGATTTCTGTACGTATATATTTTCCGAATCGTTTTTGAAACTTGTCAGATACGTTAAAATTGTTTGGGAAAACGTAGAGTGAGTTAGAACAGTGTGAGATGTGATGCAAGAGTGTGTAAGTTGTGTGTTGTACTACGTGGTGCTACTCTATTATGAATTTCCATATATTCAGATTAGTAAATTTTCACGTTGTTACATTTCTGAATATTGAAGACTGTAACGCATGAAATTTTTGAGTTTTTAAGTTAGCTACAAGATTACAGAATTGGGAATGTTCGTAATTGCACATATTTTAAACTTCCAAATCTCTATATTCATAAAAGTATAAACTTCCATATTCTTAAGTTTTCAAGTTTTTAAATACTCTGGTTTCTACGTGTCCAAATACCCAAATCAAGTTCCCAAGTACCTAAGTTCTCACATTTTTAAATTTTCAAATCCTCAAATTTTTAAATTTTTAAATTTCCAAATCTGCAAGTTCTCAAGTCTCTAAATTCACAATCACTTAAATTCCCAAATTCACAAATTTCTAGATTTCCAAAAATTTGCCTTGCAAAGTCTTAAAAGTCACTAATTTCTCAAGCTCCCAAAAGCTCAAAGTTATTAATTTCTAGAACCCTACATTTTCAAATTCCTGAATCACCAAATTGGCAAATTCTTAAAATGTTATGCCTTCGACAGTGCAAAGCTCCAGATCTACAAATTCCTAAATCCCCAAAGTGGTAAATTGTCCAAATTCCATATCTCCAAAAGTCCGAAGTTTCAATTCCATAAATTCCTAGATCTCTAAATGTCTAAATTGGTAAATTTTCAAACTTTCATATTTCCAAAAGTTCAAGGTTCCAAATTCACAAATTCCTAAATCCTTAAATTCTTAAATTACTAAATACTCAAAATTCCATCTTCCCAAAAGTGCAAAGTTTCAAATCTATAAATCCATAAATCCCTTAATCTCTAAATTGTTAAATTTTCAAAACTCCATGTTCCTTAGAGTTCAAAGTTTCAAATCCTGAAATTCCAAAATCCCTAAATTCCTAAATTCCTAAATTCCTAAATTCCTAAATTCCCAAACTCCTAAATTCCTAAGTTTCCAAAGTCCAAAATCCTCAAATCTCCAAATTACTCAGATTTGTAAATTTTTAAATTTCTACGTTTCCAAAAACCGAAATTTTTAAATCCCCAAATCCAGACATCCATGAATCCCTAAATCCCAATTTCCCAATTTCCTAAATTCCCAAATTCCAGAATTCTCAAATCCCTAAATTACCTAAAATCCAAAATTCCTTGATTCCTAAATTCTCAAGTCCTCAAATCCCCAAATCCCCAAATTCCAAACACCCTAAATCCCTAAATCGCTAAATCCCTAAATCCCTAAATCCCTAAGTCCCTAAATCCATAAACCCCTAAACTCCTAAATCTCTAAATCCTTAAACTCCTAAATTCCTAAATCCCTAAACTCCTAAATCTCTAAATCCTTAAACTCCTAAATTCCTAAATCCCTAAACTCCTAAATCTCTAAATCCTTAAACTCCTAAATTCCTAAATCCCTAAACTCCTAAATCTCTAAATCCTTAAACTCCTAAATTCCTAAATCCCTAAACTCCTAAATCTCTAAATCCTTAAACTCCTAACTTCCAAACTCCTAAATTCCTAAGTTTCCAAAGTCCAAAATCCTCAAATCTCCAAATTACTCAGATTTGTAAATTTTTAAATTTCTACGTTTCCAAAAACCGAAATTTTTAAATCCCCAAATCCAGACATCCATGAATCCCTAAATCCCAATTTCCCAATTTCCTAAATTCCCAAATTCCAGAATTCTCAAATCCCTAAATTACCTAAAATCCAAAATTCCTTGATTCCTAAATTCTCAAGTCCTCAAATCCCCAAATCCCCAAATTCCAAACACCCTAAATCCCTAAATCGCTAAATCCCTAAATCCCTAAATCCCTAAGTCCCTAAATCCATAAACCCCTAAACTCCTAAATCTCTAAATCCTTAAACTCCTAAACCACTAAACCCCTAAACCCCTAAACTCCTAAATCTCTAAATCCTTAAACTCCTAAATTCCTAAATCCCTAAACTCCTAAATCTCTAAATCCTTAAAGTCCTAAACCCCTAAACCCCTAAATCCCCAAATCTCCAAATTTGCAATCTCTAAAAGTTCCACACCACTAAAACTTCCAATTTCCCGCATCTCCAAATTAAAAAATTTCCAAATTTCTACATGTATATCCAACAATCAAAAATATTTCTTATGGTAATAAAATATCGAACGAAGCAGTACGGCAGTGCCCCGCAAAGTTCATAACGCGTACTCAATATAGGACAAGTATAATTTGTGAATTAAGAAGCAACGGAATTATTTAATGAATTCAGAAGGACACGAAAAAGGTCAGTAAGTCGTGCAGCTTTTGCCGGAAGCTAATTTCGGTATATTCTGAGCACCTTAAATCAATTCCATTACTTTTCACTGGGCGATAACACGCAAATTCTTTAAGGAGGCTAGCAATAACGGCATCAGCCTTATTATTTTTCTACCGACCACACGATTCGCGTATAGAATTACGTAATTTTCCTATCGTGAAGAAATTATCGGTTCAGAGGAAATGTTCTCGTTACGTGTACCTGGAAAAATATATTTGACTCGATAAATTCTTTCGTTCTAATTTTAATAAATTCTTTCTTTAACTCTTTTGCTAATGATCGTTACAATAAAATGAAAATAATATGATAATTCTTATAACATATGATGTATAACATAATAATTCTTATAACATATGATATATAATATAATCATACTTACTAAATATATTAAATAATATAATAATTCTTTTAAATAATAATTCGATAAATTCTTTCGTTCTATTTTTAATGAACTCTTTCTTTAACTCTTTTGCTAATGATCGTTCAATAAAATAAAAATAATATAATAATTAAATTAAATAATAATTCTTATAAAAATGTTTACTTATGAAAACGTGAATAGAAAGTTCCATAAAAATGAAAATTTTCGTATGACAACAGATAGAGACAGAAAAGAACTAGAATTAGAAATACAAAAATAACATATTTTAATTTTTTATCATATTTATATTAAATGAATATAATGTACGTTCTATAATAATCAGCAGTAATATACATATGTAGAATTCACTCATGAAGAAATAAACATAGGAACGATAAAAAATTAATGTTTTTGAAATAGCGTGAATAATATGACATGTAATGTTATTCATTTTTCTTTGTCATACATTTTGATAAAAAATAAATATTCCTCTTCAGAGTTTATTCCATTAATTTCAATTCTCTAAAGTATTCAAGATACTACAAATAATTAAAATTAATATAATTACCTTGGACAAATGCAAACTGAAAAATTAAAATGAATTCATCGATTGATCTCGCATTTGAGTTTTCGATTTAATCACTGAAATTAGCTGTCAGTTTACAATGCGATCACCGAGGTGGCTTCAACATCTTTAACCTTTTTAATGGTAGCGATGCATTTCCCGCCGATTTAAAGTGGAATACAACGAATCGTTTCAAATACGATCGTATAGTTTATTAATGGTTCGTTCAAAATTATCAACGCCCAGGAAATCTTAATTTAAGGATTCCAAAATAGCTAAATATGTTGAACTGCTCGTACTTGGTTCGACATGGTCAACGATTTAAGATTCGCGAATTATTGGCAGCGCGTGCCCTACTGGTAAGATGACGCATTGTGAAATATTAAACATTTGTTATTTAAATGTAATAACAATATTTTATTCTCGTGCCATAACCTATTTAATCACGTTGCAAATTTGGAATAGAATATTATTTGATACTGTTTTTAGTAAATTACAATTATTAGTAAATTGCAGTTGTAACATTTTGTATTTCATAGTTCTAATTTTCAAATTTCTAAATTTCCAAATCCTCAAATTGCTAATTACAAGAATTTCCAAATTTTTAGATCCTCAAATTAATAATTGAAAGTTTCCAAATCTCCAACTTACATAATTATCAACCTTTGAAATTTGTAAATTCCTAAATTAGCAAATTTTAAAATTTCCAAACTGCTATATCCCCAGATTATGAAATTTCCAAATCCTAAATCCACCAATCCTTAAAATGCAAAAAGTGCAAATTTCCAAACTTCTATATCCCCAAATTGTAAAATTTCAAAATCGCAAGTCCCCCAATCCCTGAAATTCCAAAGGTACAAATCTCTAAACTTCTATGTCCACGAATTGTAAAATTGCCAAATTGCAAATCCCCCAATCTCTAAAATGCCAAAAATACAAATTTCCAAATATCTATGTCCCCAAATTTAAAAATTTCCAAATCACAAGTCCCCCAATCCTTAAAATGCCAAAAGTACAAATTTCAAAACTTCTATATCCCTAAATTGTAAAATTTCCAAATCGCAAGTCCCCCAATCCCTAAAATGCCAAAAATACAAATTTCCAAATATCTATGTCCCCAAATTTAAAAATTTCCAAATCGCAAGTCTCCCAATCCTTAAAATGCCAAAAGTACAAATTTACAAACTTCTATATCCCTAAATTGTAAAATTTCCAAATCGCAAGTCCCCCAATCCCTAAAATGCCAAAACTACAAATTCCCAAATAAAATCTTATCAAACAAACAAGGGTTAATACCACAAAAATCGTCTACTGAAACTAAAATGACTGAAAGCATTTTACATTATTACAAAATGGCGGCGTGCTACAAAGCGCTTAAAATATAAAATTAACTAAATGATTAAAGATGCACTCATAATAAAATTATAACAAAATGTTCCAGTTAGATAGCTTTTATCTGTATCATTTTGTTCACCCTCTGTATTTGGCACAATGGTTGGAAAACATGAAATTTTCATATCACCTGACCGGTGTTATTCGATCTAAGGGCGCGTGCGCCAGGTTCCGATTCAAATAAAGCAAAAGCCATAGGGGAGCTTGACCCTTGGTCATCGGCGGGAATACAGACAGTGTGGTTTGCAACCTTTACAGTGATAGTATGCTCTTTACGCAGCAGTTCACCTCTTTACCATGCCTCTCCAAGTATAAAAAGTTGGTACAAAACCTGTATACTCTTTAAAAATTCGATATTATTTCACCTCTTCCGTTTGGAACTCCTTAATTGTATCTGGTGAACAGTGACTCGAGCTTCGTCAAACTTCGTCTTCGTCCTTCAACTATTAGTCTGCAATATTTAAATTTAATACTCTCTGTCTTGTCAACAATTTAACTAGTGCTCAATTTTTTAGTTCTTCAGGCTTTAATCGAGTTTTTTGTTCGTTCAAGTTTTAGTTAAGATCTTTATTCGTTTGAGTTTTTGACAAATTTTGTATTCGTTTGAGCTTTTGATAAGTTTTGTACGCATTTGAGTTTTAGTCAGGTCTTTTATTCATTTGGGTTTTGGTCAAGTTTGTTATTCGTTTAAGTTTTACAAAAGTTTTTCATTCATTTCAGATTGGAACAAATTTTGTATCTGTTTGAGTTTTAGTTTAACTTCTTATTTGTTTTGGTTTTAGTCAAGTTTGTTTGTTCCTTTGAGTTTTAGACAATTTCTTGCTCATTTTAGTTTCAGTCAAGTTTTTTATTCGTTTGAATTTTAATGAAGTTTCTTGTTCATTTAAATTTTAGACAAGTTTCTTACTTGCTTAAATTTTAGTCAAGTTTCTTGTTCGTTTAAATTTTAGTCAAGTTTCTTGTTTCCTAAAATTTTAAACAAGTGTTTTATTCATTTGAATTTTAGTCAAGTTTCTTATTCGTTTGAATTTTAGTCAAATTTCTTGTTCCCTAAAATTTTAAACAAGTGTTTTATTCATTTGAATTTTAGTCAAGTTTCTTATTCGTTTGAATTTTAGTCAAATTTTTGATTCGTTTAATCTTCAAACAAATGCAGTCGTTCAGACATCAGTAAAGTAGTAACGAGAAAGTTGTTTATGTTGTGTACTCGTGTAAAGCTCGGGTTTACTGAAATACTGATCAACAAATGCGTTCTATCAATCGCGATTGTCATCATGTTTCATGACAATGGGGACACGCATGCTTTCGCATGTCACAATATGCGAAGATAACATCCACGTAGAGCTCGTAACTGTGTCACATACTTTAACACGAGAGTCCCAGGTTTCATCTGTAAAAGCATCCACGTTCCACTTGTTTATATTTAGAATAATAGTAATTTACTTGGCTCTGCTAAAATCCGAGCATATCATCTTCTGCATAACCTGATCAAAGTTATTTCAAGATTTATGTAAAAATTATGACAATAAAATATACACGTGATTGCTATATGACTCAACATGTGTAAAAAGAACAGAAATTAAATTGATTTCATGTGCACATTTATAATATTACAACGGTTAGGTTGTTAGGTTAGCATTGTCAACATAAACGTCATCTGTATAACATTTTTTTTACCATTTTAATGGTTAATATTATTTAATAATCCAAAGTATTAATCTAAAAATTAGTATTTGAAAATGAACAATAGCATCCTTAATCGTTCAAATTTTAATATGTCTTGCTACCTTTTTATTGTTAGTAGCGAACATCTTAAAAATATCTCTTCAGATGCAGACAATGTTACGGATATTTATTTAAAATGTAATGAAATAGTTATAAAACATAAATTCTAGAAAACAGGAAAAAGTGATTGTGATTGAACGTATACGTTACGTTTTTTAGCTGATCTTCAAAATAATTCTTGAGAAAATCATTTACTGGTTTACTAAAAATATGAAAACTATTGTTAATACTATACTTCATTGTTTGAGTTATTAATGTAATTTTGATTGTATATAGAACATGAGTTTATTGTATAAAGAATATATGTTTATTTACTCATTTCACTTCTTAATTATTCAACTGAATTTCCGTAACATCTGAGCAATGTGACAAACGTGTGGAATATGACGGCCATTTTATTTACACGCGCGTATTAAAACATATCTACAATGCATGGTTCAGTGAGGCAGCATGATGTTTATCAAATGCACTTCCTCAATTAAACGAAATACTTCATATTTTGCTTCGATTCGAAATAAAATAGAGAAGGCAAAACAAATATATACCACGATTGTAATTGTCTCTATATTAAACACTGTAGTTATAATTTTTCATGAGTTAAACATTGCAATTGCAATTTTTCATAAGCTACAATTGAAAATTTCGATAAATTGAAGACTGCTAATAATTGTAATTTTCTGTGAATCAAACACTACTTATAATTGTAATTTTCTATAAATTAAACATTACTTACATTTTCATTTTTCAGCTTGTTTTAAATTATCAGTCATAAATTGCAAATTTACAATACGAAAAGTATTACAAATGCTCAATTAATATACAAAACTAAAGTATTTTCCATTTCTGAAGGAATATCTACAAATTTTTTGCTTGATCTTTGAACTAATTTTAAAACATCTGTCACAAATTTTTATTTTAACCTATCACAGAACGTATTAAAATTAACTATTTTAATTTCGTATTAATTTCTTCCATTTCCTTGTGGTAAATTTATATTAAAATGAAAAATAGTAATATTAAACTTAGCGTTAAAATTTATCAAATTAATATTAAAATGAGCATTAAAATCAATCAATTAAATATTAAAATTAATATTAAAATCAATCAATTACATATTAAAATTAGTATTAAAATTAATCAGTTTAATATTGCAATTAGTATTAGACTCAATCAATGAAATATCATAATTAGTATTAAAATCAATCAATTAAATATCACAATTAGTATTAGAATCAATCAATTAAATATCACAATTAGTATTGAAATTAATTAATTAGATATTTCAATTAATATTAGTATTAGTCGACTGAATATTAAAGTTAGTTTCAAAGTTAATTAGTTTAATTTCAATTTAAAAAATCATCTTGTTCAAAGGTCACGCGCGCCGAGCAAGGCGATGGAACGGTACGAGCGATTGGCGCGTCTTGGAGAGGGTAGTTATGGTGTTGTCTTCCAGTGCAGAGATCGGCAAACTGGAAGATTGGTAGCTGTAAAAAAGTTCCAACAGACCGAGGATGACCCTCTCATACGAAAGATAGCGCTACGTGAAATACGGTTGCTTAAGGTCAGTATATTCATTCTTAACCCTTTAAACTTTTCAACATTGAGATATCCGTCCACTCACATACTCTATATGTCTAATACAGATATCTATATATCTAATTATACTCTGTACTAATCTGAGTAATATTATTTACTATACTAAATTAATTATTTATTATATTGTGAACAAAATACATACACATTTTATTATGTTATTCAATGAATAGAACAAAGATTATCCGATACGTTAACCATTTTAAAATTGCAATTGTTCTAAGTGACCGCCATTGATGTCATTTAACATTTTTGCTATGTTTGACATTAATATTTATGTGCATATACAATTTTTTCAAACTACTAATTTTTAAGAAATTTAATTTTATTTTTGTAAAGTATATTCAAATTTTTAGTTTTAAACCTTGGAGACTGCAAAAGGTATTTCACCACACACGAGTTATTTACAACCACTAAACAATAACTATTATATTTCTTACTTAACTTTAAATAGTAGATACAACACTTAGTTGCCTTTCATTACCAGTATTGACTTTTAAGATAAAAGACACTAGTATAAAGTTTTATAATATTAATGTCTCTTCCTATGATAATAATTTTGAACAGTTACATATTTTAACAGTAATAATTAACCAAAATTAATTTTATATAAAATATTTCCTTCTAAAATTATATAAATTCTTACCGTCGTTGATATAAATTAAAATATAAATATAAATTAAAAGTCGTTCAAGAAAAATCCTAAAATACTTAACAAAATAAAGTTACAATTAAAGCTTCTAATAATACCTAGATTTTATCACTAACAAATATTTGTAGAATATATCTCAGTTGCATCGTACAGTAAATCATCTTTATCACGCTACTGTCCAATTTTCTCATTCATAAACTGAAGGGATTTGTGTTTCCAAAATTCCGGTACTATCATCGTTAACAATGTCAACACTCGAAAATGTAGATAACTTATCAACCTGCTACTCTTTCAGTTTCCAACGTGATAAGATAATATGCACAGTAAGAAAGCGGAAGCGATCATTGTTCGATACCTCTAAAATATTTAGAGTACTGGTACTGATAATAGCTGTAGTTAACATTTTTATCTGGTACCACAGAAAATAAGCTTTCTACTAATAAAAATGCTTTGAATTGTGTATTATTCAAAACATCGTACACTTTTATATATACAATATTTTCATGATTTATGTACTTCATAGTATTTAAAAGTTCCGTGTCTTTTTTATACAATTTTATCGTATTTTATTTAAAATAAATATATCACATTTAGTATACTAGCAATAATAGTAACTACAAATTTTCATAAGACTTGTCAATTTTTTATGCAGTTTGAAGAGTTCGGTTTCTCTTTACTAAAACTTTGTTGGTACAAGGTCAAATCGTCTAAAGACGTAAGAATCAAATTACTCATAAAATTTACTAAAAAGATTGTAGTATTAGAAAATGAGCCCAACATCGTCAAACTACTGGTACACATATTCTAACATTAGCTTTTACCTATAGAAAGGAAATAAAATACTCGTCAATCACATATTACTGTCTTGTTACATGTTACTGTCAAATCAGATAATCTAAACAGGAAGCTTTCTGTCTCTAGTTCCTTTACCACATGGGTCTAGCATTATATCTGTGTGTATACTTCGAGGTGAACGACCTCTTATACCCTGAAAACGTTAAACCTCTTGCCACCTGCAGAAATAAGAAAATCTCATCAAAAGAGTCCCAGAAGTCGAACGGAGTCCTCTCCGAAAGTCGAGGATCGATTTGCAGACATTTCTAGAAAAATCGAGTAAAAATTCATAATCTTATACAACAGGGTAGCCATATAAATCCAACGTTGACTACAAGAAGTGGCCAACGGTCAATACCGCGACGGTCAATATCTTAGCGTGTTCTGCTCCCGGCGACCTAGCCTTATCGAAATAATCGGAGGGTTCCCTCCGAAACATATGCGCATTCAAACGAGCCTCCACTCTGCTCTGACATTTCGCCTCAAGGATATTTTCCTTCGTGCACAACAATAAATCTGGGCTGTGATGTTAATGATTTCCTTTCGCCGCGGCTTCTTGATCTCAGATTTCGCCTTTTTCTTTTCAGGTCACAGCATTTTTTTACTTGACCCTCTCGACTGCAGTCACCTTTGCCGAAATCTATGTTTGTGTACTAAATTCTTTAAACTTAACGCAGTGTCTAAATAAGATAATTTTGTTGGAAAAATTTTAATTTTAATGACAAATTTTTTAGCTGTAATTTTTGTGTACATAGCCAGAAAATTTACTTAGAAACCTGAATAACTTCGTGGAAGCGAATGCATTAAAAACAAATATGGCCGTTCAACCATGACGTGTACGACCGACCGGTGTTATCTTACTGCATTGTACCGCAATACATTTTATAAAGAAATTAGTAGAGAGCGATATGCAAATATATACGTTAATGGTGACGTGCAGTTTTACACACTTCATATTTACTATTTTTAAACAAGTATACTTGAAACATGCGGCCCACATATTTAAATCACAAAGGAATAATTCTGCAAGTTTTCTGAAACTACGATTACAGTTTATTGTGTTTACTGTTTGATTAATTATCAAAATTGTCCCCTACTCAGGGGATAATGTTAAAAATTAAACAAGGATAATGTACACACATTATAGTCAAAACTAAAATTAACATTTTTTTATGTTTTTGAATTGTACGCTGAAAATGTGCCATTTTGAAGCCAGATGAACCTTACAATAAGAAATTTGTAACATTGCCCGTTAAAAATATAATAAATATAAAATTATACGAAGAAAAAGATGTTGTGAATGTTGAAGTAAATTGCTAATTAATTGTGACGCTTAATGTTTTCTAGAATCTTAAGCATCCGAACCTGGTAAACCTTCTGGAGGTATTCAGACGGAAACGGAAATTGCATCTAGTCTTCGAATACTGCGAATACACGCTGTTGAACGAGATGGAGAGATATCCGCACGGCTGTCCGGAAATTACCACAAAGCAACTTACGTGGCAAATTCTACAGGGTGTCGCGTATTGCCATCGACTATGTTGCGTACATAGGGACGTAAAACCTGAGAATATTCTAATCACAGCTGAAGGTGTAGTAAAATTGTGCGATTTCGGTTTCGCACGGATACTCAGCCCTGGTGAAAACTATACAGAGTATGTCGCAACCAGGTGGTATAGGGCACCAGAACTACTGGTAATTATTTTTACTATTTTTTACTTAATTGAGAAATCCCTGATACGATTTATTTATACTTTATTCGGAATGTTTTGTTTGTAATACATATTATTTTCATTTTGAAGTAGGAACATATGACATTTGAAGTAGAAGCAGTATACCCTTGTTATATTACAGTATTCATAGATTCTTTCACGTATAGTAGATAGCATTCCTTTATTACGAGGTCTTTATTACCACTGTAATATTAGAAGAGAAGACTTTGTAGCAAACTCAATATATATTCAAATCCAATAATTTTTTATACAATTGAATTGGCAATATAATTAGAGTCAACACTGGCAGAATTCCATTCTTAGTAACTTGAAAACTTAAAAATTATATTTTATATTTGTAACTTGAGAATTTGAAAGTGTAGATATCTGCAAATTTTACCACCTACAATTGAAGAATTTGGGATTTGAAAATTTAAATAAATGAAAATTGCATAGCTTAGAGATTCGAAAATGCTATTTGAAGTTTTGAGTTTGTGAATTTAGAAATTTAATAGATTCCACTATATTATGTTTGTAAGCTTTGAAAATAGTATATTAACAGTTAAACAATTAACTATAAGTACCCACGTATTAAAAATGAAATGACTTCGTACTTTTTTAGGTCGGAGATACGCAATACGGCACACCTGTAGACGTATGGGCGATAGGTTGCGTTTTTGCAGAATTGATACGAGGAGAAGCACTGTGGCCAGGAAAATCGGATGTGGATCAATTATATTTAATTCGAAGAACTATCGGAGACTTATTACCAAGGCATATAGCCATTTTCCAGCAGAACGAATTTTTCGCTGGTATCACTTTACCAACCCCTCAAACTCTCACTCCTCTTGACGAGGCTCTCCCTAACAGAGGAAATGTCATTCTACAGGTAAGTTCCTTCATTCGTTATTTTTTTGTATTAATTAAATAAAGTAATTGTACTTAAAGTTAATTTATATTGTTTAGCTCGACTTCCTCAAAAAATGTCTAGACAAAGATCCAGATAAAAGATGGTCTTGTGAACAACTTTTACAGCACTCATATTTTGAAAATTTTCATTTCAAAATGCCTGAAGCCGAAATGGAAGAATTTGAAAAACTTAAAAAGTATCGAGATCGATCAAGGGTAAATTATATCAATATTTAATAATAAAAATAAGAAAAATGAAATAGTCAGTTAATTATTTAATGTGTACATACTAAACTAATAAAACAAAACATAATTATTTAATATTTACATACTAAACTAATAATGTTTTGTTCTTGTTGTATTTTAGAATAGTAATTACAGTCAAATGGTATTACCACAACTTCCTAAAGCTGGTGCTTCAGTACATAGTCAAAATGAAAATCGGCCGAAAAGCTCTGCCACACATAATCAGCAGGATTTCGATCACCTGCCTACTATTAAGGGTTGCAATTAAGTTCCTCTGTGATTGTAATATACTTATACATATATACATACATATTTATTTATTTATTTATTTATTTATTTAAACTTTGTAAATCTTCATTACAAATCAATGATTGTTAATACCTTTTATTTTTACCTTGCACTTTTATCTTTGAAACTGAACAGATTTTGTTCTATTTGCATGATTTCCATATCATATATACATATTTATTATATGTACATTGTATGTACATCTTAGAATAAAGTTTTATATAAAATGATTTCTTGTATTAATGAAGTGTAAGTATTTGAAACCACAGATAATTTTTTTTCAAATCGATATATCCTAATATAACTTGTATTAATCGCATACAAAACAATTTTTTATTTTATAAATAGAAATACAAATAACGCTATAGTATTATGAGTCAGACTTATCCTAATATACATTTATTACGGATGATATATACAATGCAAACATAATCCTATATACAATATAACATCTACAGACACATTTTAAAACTTAAACAATTGTAAAATACTAATGTGGTGTCTTTTTTATTATGCTTGAACCAGCACATGAGAGCGTGTTCATGTCTTTTTTCTTCTGGTACAAAACGATGTTGTATCATATACCAATCAATATGTATTTCGACAAAACCAACATCAAATACTCAATCATTTTTAAAATTAATTTTTACTTGTTATCTTAACTATAATAGGCTAGTACTGGTGAAACAGACATCTTTGAAATATTCAAAAAATTCTTTAGCACTTGACACGTAAGACAATATAGAAAATATTTACACTTTTCCAAACAAAATTTCAAACAAAAATTAATTAGTTTTCAAGCACACACAAACTGAACTATTTAAAGTTGCCAAAAAATGCTTCTTTCAATAAAAAGTCAAGTTCACCTTCTTCATCATCAAACTCACCAAGGTTATTTGAAGGTCACAATATAATACATTATTGAACTTTATTTCACAGAAACTACAGTGTTATAAAATCAAAAATAAATTATACTGTTTAAAAGAAAATATAACAGTTTGCAGTTAATTCAAAATCGACTAACTATTGCTTAAAACCATTCTTTTTTAGATTATTACATATAGAAATATGAACATATGAATGAATATATAATTTAATTATAATTTATTTACAATACACAATTATATAGAAAAATTTTGATTCGTCTTTTTTAGCAATTATAGGTTAGAACAGTAATAAATAGGTTATGTATCCATGTACTTTAAACTGATTGGATAATCATATTTCAATTTTCTACAAATTCTATTTTGTTTCTATAATTACATAACTATTATTAATTATTTATTGTCGAATTAATTATAAAATTAACTACACTGTTCTATATATAAAGAAAATTTCACGAAATAAGTTAATGACATTTATTTATGAGTTTAAGATCACATAAACACTTACTCACGTGGTAGTAAAAAGGCGCGAAATCTTTGTCACAACAGTTTCATTCATAAACATCAGTGACTTTTGATGGATACGTACCACTTTTCTGTGTTATGCATTTTACATGTTATTAGAAGTTTAAAATCATTAAAATATAACATATACTGTAAGTAAATATATGTAATGTAATTGTTTAATCGCAAGATACTAATTATGGCTGATGACAAGTTAATAAAACAAGTGCACAGTACTTTTTCTTTGTATGGCCTTGTCCTTTCAAGGTATATACATTTTTATATTTTACATATTATGTATAGATTTTATAGTTCAATTTTTATAGAAATAAAATTTGTTATTATCTAGGAAGCTTAGTGTTTCACTTGCTAAAGAACTTTTAAATGTGGAAGAAGATAAACGCTTATCTTGGCTAACACAAATAGTAGAAAAAGTTTTAACCCAAAATTTAAATGATCCACATGTTACTGTTGAAAATCTAAAATTAGCAATAGAAGAATGTATAAGACCAGATACATTGAAAGCTACAGAAACGGTATTAAATGTGATAGATGCATTTGATATCCCAAAAATTAAATATGATTTAAATAAAAAAAAATTTATTCTGTCAACTGTTGCACCAGACCTGTATGCTGAAGCACAATATAAATCTGAAATTTTTAAAAACAGATTTGAGTTGCTTTGGTATAGAACTTTAAGACATGAATTATTCAATCCTCCCAGACTTGGTGAAAAAAAGGATGATTGGATCGAGTTAGTACCAATTGAACATTTATTAAGTGAAAGTAAAACTGGAAATATTTGTGTAATGGGGCTTTTAACACAATTAACAGAGGGTCAATTTTATTTGGAGGATATGGGAGGAACCATTAAAATTGATTTACGAAGAGCAATATCCTTTAAGAACTTAAAAATAAAATAATTACATGAATTCTCTTTACGTACAGATTCTTCTAAACAATATTTTTCTTAGCATTTCAATACAATTTTCAGGATGGTTTAATTATGGAAGCTTCTGTAGTAATAGCTAATGGAGATTATAGAGATGGTGTTTTATATGTAGAAGAATTAGGATTTCCACCAGCAGAATCATCTTATAATGCACGTGTAGACTTTGGTGATGCCAACACATTTGGTGGGCCTCACAATCTATCCTTAAAATTTTCAGAAAAATTGAAACATTATGAAGAAAGCAATAAGGATGGAATGATTATTTTTGTATCTGAAGTGTGGTTGGATGATATCACTGTTTTACAAAAATTCAGAACTATGTTAGCAGGATATGCAGAATGTCCACCTATAGCTTTTGTATTATGTGGTCATTTTTTAAGTTTTCCGGCAAACATAACAAGTGCGCATAAATTAAAAGAAGGGCTTAAAGATTTGCGTGATATGATAATGCAATATCCTAGTATAAAAGAATCTTCTAAATTTATTTTTGTCCCTGCATCAGATGATGTAGGATCACCAAAAATTTTACCGAGATCACCGCTTCCAAAATATATTACTGAAAATTTTAGGAAAAATATTCCTGGTGCAATATTCACCACTAATCCATGTAGAATTCAGTATTGTACGAAAGAAATTGTAGTGATAAGAGAGGATATTTTAACAAAAATGTGTAGAAATACACTTAATTTTCCACATACAGGGAACATTTATGATCATGTAAGTATCATTCATACTTATTAGGGATGTGTGGGTAATTTGATATATCAAATAGGTACAAGTAGAATTGCATAGAATACGTATAGGAATTTTCAAATTTTTAGATTTTAAAAATTTTTAAAGTATCAGAGTTTTTTTGTAGATTCATCGGATCTCGCCCGACGTCTTCCGACTGAACACGAGTCCGTAATCTCGTGTGTTCGCCCGATTTTTTCCGATTTGACCCGAGCCCATTATCTCAGCTACCCACACATCTGATATTTATTGATATTTGTCTACAAATTTTTTATTTAATTTATGTAATATTTCAGTATGCCAAATCAATTATTTGTCAGTCACATTTGACTCCTCTAAGTCTTTCGATAGTACCGATATACTGGAAACACGATCATGCTTTACAAATAAACCCGACGCCAGATTTGATTGTATCTGCGGATAAATTTGAGTCATACGAAACGAAGCATTCTAACTGTCACATAATTAATCCTGGATTATTTCCAAAGAACGACCACTCATTCAAAGTATACGTCCCGTCGTTGGATTTGATCGAACATTGTGCTATTCCAAAAGATATGGATGGGATTTAATTATGAATGCCATTTAAAGTATCAAATAAATGAAATACAAATGAGCGAAATATAACGCAGTAAGGATTTTTTTTTCAGCAAGGATATACAATTATATAATTCATAAAACCTTTCGTTCGTTCATGAACAATTACATGCCAATTTTGTACAATATTTATTTTCACATCACAATTCTCATCAGTTTTACAATACTTTAAAAATGCGTATTCAGTTCATAACTTAATCCACAACAATTTTTACTACTAAAATAAGAGCATATTAAATTAAGTTCGACCATCAAAAATAACTTAAATCACTCGTTAAGGATACTGGGTGATTTGTTGGTCCTCCGTGTCCTATAATACAGTGAAAGAGAATTGAATAACTTACTAACCATAGTCTTATCGATCAAATAAGTTTAATAATATTTAACATAATACACCTCAAAAAAAGAAAAAAAAAAAAACTCAACACTCTTTTTACTTCTCTCTCACATTGACTAACGAAGTTCGTTTTCTCAGACTTTCTATGTGGGACACAGGAAGTACGCGTTTATTATTTTTTTTCACTTTTGCTTTCTTATCGATTTATATAAATAGATACATACAATATTAAACACAGTGTTTCTACCGTTTTTTGCAATGTACATAACAATCTTACAGGTACAGACTGGGCCCCGGCATATCTCAATTCACTGCGCTGGAAGCATAAGTTAATTACTGGCCGTTTCAATCAAACATCAATATAAGGATTATAACTTCGTAGAACAACGTGTAACACATTAGATGCGATAATAAAATGATGATGATACAATTCGTGAATAATTACAATCTCGTGTAACCAGCTGAAACGCTCTATCATCTATACAGAAGTTAAAGGGAACAAATATATTTAAAATATATAATGATCAAGACAATTTCATCAAAGTTTTGCGATAGAAACGTTACTTTTATTATTTCGGATCGCTCCATTTCTTTCACGCGACTTTCACTCTTGTCTTGCACACACACAATAAACAAACACACACACGCATACTGTTTTTTTCTGTACACTATGTATCTCAGCAATCGCAAACGAATGCCGCACGAATTCTTAATGCTCCAAATTTTCGAAGCTAACAAACTTTCAATCGTGGCAAGCGAATGCTAAAATTTCATTTACTTATCAAACATTCGATTAGAGTGTGAACGTTAAAAGTGTTAAGAGTAACGCAGATTATAATAATATGTATAATTGTGAATCGTAAGAGCTACGCGCACTTACTTATCGAATATATTACAGTGCCGCAACGTAGAAAAAAAAAAAAAAAAAAGATGAACGCGCTTACATCTATTGCACTTTCTTTAAATTTCGTTTATAATCCAATGTTCGTACCACCTGCGATCGACTACATCATAATACAGAATAATACATAATTGTTTATGTACCAGTGCGTTCTTCGTGTAACTATGCACAAGCGTGTAAGTTCAGCTAGAAGAGTTACACTTTCAGTCGACGGATGGTATAACGGCCTTTTAAACTCCCTGTCTCACGAACTCTCCTTCTTCGCGTATAATTCTCCTGAAAAAATTAATAAATACAATTTAGAACTTATACAATCTGATAAGAAAATTTGCATTTGCGTCATTTTTAACCTGAAGAGTACGGGGACTTTCGGTTTCCGTTTTAAATTTTAATGTGAAGTTTGGAATTATTGGGGTGCTGGAATTTAGGAGTTGTAGAATCTTGGAATTGTGGACTTTGAGATTTCAGAATTTTGAAAATTAAGAATTTGTTCATTTCAATTGTGTGAAATACTATATTAAAAACTAACGGATTATAAATAATATTCTCAATAATGGATGTTGGTCAGAGTGGCCATATTTTTTAATAGATTTTTAATATACTTCCAGTATATTATTTAAAAAGTCAATATAAAAAATTTCACACAAATTAGTGCAAATGGTTAAACTAACTTTGCTCTATATAATATTAAAATACCAGAAGATACACATAAAAAGTTCTTTTAATGAATTATTAGTGGAAATTCCATTTCATCATTTGCATTTTAAAATGAGGCTCCGTACTCCAAAGGTTAACTCAATTATTCAGAATATTAGGATTTCTGGTTACAACAAATATATACACACTTTCTCTTTGATATCTTCGACAAGCTTGATTCCTCTCCTCGGCGTCAAAGTACCACAAAGTGATTGCATATCTGGTCTTGTATGCTGGTTGTACTTCGTGCGGATTTCTCCTGTCAGACCAGAAGAACAGTATCCTATCGAAAAGAGGTTCAATATTCGCTACTTGATCACGCCATCCTTCCGGAAATATCCTCAGCAGACCACCATTTTTCTATAAACACAAAATCAAGCATAAATTATCATAACTGATGACAAAATAATATGAAGACATAATACAAACAAATTTATTTCCTTTTCTATTCGTGATTCATGGTTTATTCTAAGGTATTAATAAATCTTGAGTAAAAAGATGGAAATATCGTATAATTATATTTCTTTTAGAAATATAAGGTTTGTGAACTCTCAAATTTCCGAATTTAGATTTACGAACTTTTAGGTTTAGAAATTGTCAAAATTACAGATTAAATTAGTTTAAAATTGAGAAATTCTCAAGTTTTTAAATTCTCAAATTTTCAAATTCTTAAATTCTCAAATTTCCAAATTTTCAAATCCTCAAATTCTCAAATCTAGATATTTCCAAATCCTCAAATTCTCAAATCTATATATTTCCAAATTTCTAAATTTTCAAAATCTCAAGTTCTGAAATCTTCAAATTCTCAAATTTTCAAATTCTTAATTTCTAAAATTTTCAAACTCTTCAATTCGCAAATAGAATGAACAATATTTAATCCGCCAAAATCAAATGCATTTGGTTGCACTAAAACGTGGATTTCATAACCGAGAATAATATTTAGAATGAAACGTTTATTTACTCAAAACCGATATTGTCTTTCAAAGTTATAATCTGCTCGAAACTTTCGAAATGTACTTGTATAAGATGGAAGGTAGACTTTGTAGACGCACAGTATATCACGTAAGACATTGAACATCCTGTGTTTCTACATTCTCGACGGCAGCACGTGTTTAAACATCCCTTATTTCACGCGTGGGTCACCGTAAATATTGCTCAAGCGACTGTTGTATGTACCGTGTTACATGAAGTAGCTCACGTAGGCCCTAAACGCCCTTCAGGCTCAATCTCTTGCCCTTTCTACGAATGTTCTCTCCTTCAACGTTTAAACGACCGTGAACCGTGTTAAATATATCTGGTGAAGGAGAAATAGTGTTCTGTTTACGAAGAAAATTATTCTAACCTTAGTAATTTTTGGTTGATTATCGACATAGATTTTTAAATATTTATATTGTATTTTAGTTATATTTACTGTGTTATACTTTTTTTACTTTACTTATAAGATTATACTTTACTTATATTTATTGTGTCATGCACGAATTATGGTTTATTTATATTTACTGTGTTATGAATGAATTATACTTCATTTATATAATACTGTGTTGTGAGTTATACTCTATTTATATTCACCGTGTTATACATACATTATAAATATGGTAATATAAATCTATCAATAGACTTTTTTTTAAGTAGGTAAAAAGTAATTTACTGATGTCATAAATCTTATGAAACATACGATCAAGGAGTTAATGTGAGAAACTAGAAATAAATTTGTAAATTATGTTATTAGAAATATATTTGTATCGTAATTTAAATAAGATGTATCGTTTCTGTTTAATAACGAAATATGTCGGTATGTTGGTTTGTTAGTATTGCTTTTAAATTAGGTACCTTACGTTTTATGGAGGAAAGATAAATTTTGGAAATAATTAATAAATGTGTTGAAAGAATTATTAATTCTTCCATAACATACATAACCTAAAATTTTACAGACTTTAACCGTCCTTAACGAAGATTACTTAAAGACAAAGTTTTAATGCTTTAGTACTACAAAAATATAAGGGTATAAAGATATAAAATATAGAAAAATTTAAACTGTCTTAAATGTAATTCATGCATTTTCATTCTTTAAGTACCATGAAATGTATAATCCAGAAAATATGTCACGTTTGTTAAAATTTAAGTACCATTGTATGATTCCATTGTCACGTATCTATTAAACTTATATAATTCAAAGATAATACAAAAATAGTAAACAGATTATCGAATCGCATACTATTACCCACTTCTGAATATTAAACCTAGAGATTTAACTTTGATAGGTCAAATATAAACCTAAAATGATATGGTTTAATAAAAAGTTTCTCTTAAAATTATCTTTGGCAATATTCAAATCATAAATTGGAGAAAGATACATTTATATTTAAAAGAAATAGTTACGAACCACTTGATAACTCACTGGTTCTATAATGACGTCATAAAGAAAACCACCTTGAAACACCTTACTATTTTTACGACATTTATGTCATCGTTAAGCGGACGAAATTTTACTAATGATTTCACTTTGACGAAGAAATTACAACGGGAGCTTGATATCTGTATCTCGGAAGGTAATCACGGTAGCTGATAAAAGAATTATCGACTGATTGATTGAAACTTATCCATCATGTTATCGCTATGCACACTGTTCAAAGCAATTAAAGGATCAGACTTTTAAATACTTTAACCTTTTTGGAGATATTACTATGCGTTGTAGGTAATTTCCTTATACTTTTTTAATTCAGTAAAATATACAAATATTTCAAAGTAAGTAAAATACTCAAACAGCTGAAAATAAATAAAATATAAAATATTTAAAAATAAGAAAAATATTAAAAACAAAGTAAAATATCCTAACAGTTGAAAATAAATAAAATATAAAAATATTAAAAAATAAATAAATTATAAAAATATTTAAAAGTAAGTAAAATATAAAAATATTTGAAAATAAGTAAAATATAATTACATACAAAATTTGTATAATTAAAATAAATCATTTTTGATAAAATAAGGTAATTAAAATATTTAAACCAATCAAAGACAGTGATAACAAATTATTGTAACAATGTTTGAAACACTAAAAATAATACTGTTTCAATAGCAGAAAATTGTTGAAGCAATTAATTCAATTATTTCAAGTTATAAATGTAGTATACTTTTTATATTTCCTTCATCTGAAATTAGTCACCGAATAAAATTAAACATTTTCGAAAGACATAACAATTCTGTATAACAAATAATCAACGTCATCGAAGTAAGAGGATATCGTAGAAATTAATTGAACAGATGACCCAAAAAGTCATCTGTATCTCAATAAAAATTAGCTTCGGGGTATAGGTATCTATCAACGTCTTTTTTTTCAATCCTTCAGTCTATAAAGTAACGTATCAACAAACATTAAATCAGTCTTAACTTAATTCGACGCAAAAACTAAACAGCACTAAATGAAACGAAATTGAAAAATGATAAATATGTTGAAAAGGTTAAAATGTTATTGAATTTGCATAAATATGACAGTACTTAATGAAGTTTGGTCTCAAAGATATTAAATAACAAAAAATTGAACCTACCATATAATACAAGTATAGTCTCAAGTAAAATTAAAGTGGATAAATATATAAACAGTAAAACATGAATATATTAATTCTTTATTTTAAGAAAAGCATCTTGCATAAATATGACAGCACTTAAGGGGAGCAATACCTTTAGACAGATGAAAATAAGCTGATATTTGTGAATTTTTTTTGTATAGGACACCTTTATTTTGCATTTTCGAAATTTCAGGTATAATTTATTATAACTATTGCCTATTACAGAATATTTTCTGTTTTGCAAAATATTTAAAAATGCCGGAATTATGACAATCCTTTCTGGAAGTGTTTTAGCGTGTCTCGTGAATCGGCGTGGGTTCTAGCTTTAGATATATTGATCTGAAGCAAGTTTGCAGACAATGTTTCAAAAACTAACATTCACAGTTAGATGAACCTCAGAAATGTGCAAAATATGTAAAATTGAAGAAATGGCGCACTTTTAAAGAAAAACTTTGAATCTTATTAAAAATTTTTGCAATGTTTTGCAATAAAAAGGACTTTAATGTTCAATTTATTTCATACATTTAGGTTCATATGTTAGATAGTATTGTCATATTTATTTCATACATTTAGGCTCATATGTTAGATAGTATTGTCATGGATATGTGCAAAAGATTTGAGCGCGATTGATAAACTAGTTTTTGAGTTATCAGCCACGCCAATTTTAAGAACATAGTTTTGAGAAAAACGTGTTTAAAGTTTCAGTCCTTCGCACTGAACACGTGTATGCCCGCGGCGCTAATCGGCCATAACTTCAAAAGCGCTTCGTATTTCACTTTAAAATTTTAAGACAATATTTTTAAGACGTTACACTAAAATTTTATAGAAAAAAAAATTTTGTAATATTTTAAGATTCTAAAGGTATTAATTTCAATTAAATTAATAAAAAGATTGATTGTCATTTCTTGCGCCATGAACAAAAAAGCATAGTAATTTTTTAAGATACTAAAGGTATTGCCCCCCTTAATGAAGTTTGGCCTCAGAGATATTAAATAACAAAAAATTAAATCTATCCATAATACCAGTATACTTCTAAGTCAAAAATAAAACGAACAAATAAATAAACAGTAAAGCACGAATATATTAAATCTTTATCTCACTAAATATTGTTATTAAAGAAAGGAACTAGTGAAGGGGTCAAACTTAGCAGTTTCAGCGTTAAAAATGCAAGAATAATAAAGATAATTCTGCGTGAAATAAATACGTGTCCTAAGACGTGGGTGTACGAATACACACACGAGTATTTGATGTTTACGATTGTTTTAGCGCCATTGCCAAACAATCATATAAATATATTCGACGCGTCGATAAATTTACTCGTAGCAGTGTCGCAAAGCTAGGAAAGCATCCAGAAAGTAGTTCGACGTCTAAAACAAGATGATAAAACGTAGTATATCTTTACCTTGATATCCCAATCCCGGTTAAGATAGTAGATAGCCGTGATGCATCGTCCATCTCGATTAGGATTGTCCACGTGTTTCACGTAATGCGAACCATGACCAGGATAACAAGCCACCATCGCCTGGGAAAAATAATGCAACTGTGTTACGTTTGATCGAGGAAACTTTAATGTCCTTGGGAGTTCTGCTCGTATATGGATCTACTCTACCGAGCAATCACCTATGTTTCGCGGAATATTGACATGAACGATGTGTTGCGTTCTGTAACAGAAGCGTGATTGGGTTTTTTTTTGTATTACGGCTGGTAGAAAAATATGGAATGAAATTTAGAAACTTTTGAAGTTATAATATTTATTTTTTGATTTTGGGAATGTTATGTTGAGAAATTTTGTATTTGTTAATTTGGGAAGTTAAGGAATTTTGTATTGATTAATTTGGGAAGTTGGAAATTTCATGTTTATAAGTTTGGAGATTCAAAAATTTGATATTTATGAATTTGAGAATTTACAAATTTGGGAATGTAGAAGATAATATTTATATTTTTGGGAATTTAGAAATTCAATGTGAGCGAGTTTAAGAATTCTCAATTCTCTAATTTCTCAATTCCTTATTTCCCAATACCTAATTTCCCCATTCCCCAATTCCTAATTTCCTAATTTCCTGGTTCCCTAATTTCCCAATTCCCTAATTTTCCACTTTCCTAATTTCCCAGTTCTCCAATTTTCCAAATCCTTAATTCCCCAATTCCCTAATTTCTCAATTTTCTAATCCCCCAATTCTCTAATTCCCCAATTCCTCATATCCCAATTTCCTAATTTCCTGATTACGTAATTTCCCAAATCTCTAATTTCCCAATTACTTAGTTTCCCAATGCTCTACTTTTCCCAATTCCTAATTCCCCCATTTCCCTTATTTCCCAATTTCTTAATTTCCCAGTTCTCCAATTTCCCAAATCTCTAATTCCCCAATTCCCAATTTCTTAATATCCCAATTCCCTAATTTCCCAGTTCTCTAATTTTCCAAATCCCTAATTCCCCATTTCCTTGATTTCCCAATTCCCTAATTCCCCACTTCCTTAATTCCCCAATTCTCTAATTTCCCAATTTCCTAATATCCCAATTCCCTAATTTTCCAAATCCCTAATTCCCCAATTCCTTAATTTCCCAATTCCTTAATTTCCCCATTCCCTAATTCCCCACTTCCTTAATTCCCCAATTCCCTAATTTCCCAGTTCTCCAATTTTCCAAATCCCTAATTCCCCAATGCCCCAATTCCCTAATGTCCCAATTCGTAATTTACCAATACCTTAATTCCCCAATTTCCTAATTTCCTAAATTTCTATCTATCGTTATTTTCTGAATTCCCCCAATTTCTATTCCCAACATTTTCCTAATTCCCCAAATTCCTATTTGCAACATTTACCAATTCCCACATTCCCGAATCAAGCTCCCAAATTTTTAAACGCTATTAGGTCACATTTAATATCGAAAGTTAACTCTGTTAGTGAAATCTAGGACACCCAGCCCAACCCACACAAAAATCCTAGTTACGCCAATGAACATTTCGTCGATTAGCAAGCGTACGGAATCGTATCAATCTCCGTGTGTCTGTACGTGCACGCGTGGAATTTTTGATGCAATTCATCAAGCTGGAAAAATACGGCAACCGGTATGGCAACAGGGAGTTTCAAACGACCCGTTTCGCGAAATGTAAACCGACATTAATAATCGCTTATCAACGTCAGACATTTCTTTTCCCTTCTATTTCTCTTTTTCTTTCGATTACAAACGAAAATGGCAAGAATGTCGTTGGTCATAATCTCGTATTATCAGTAGTTAAATAAACGGATTCAATATGGAGTATCTTTCTTCTTGAAATACAATAGTTTTTATAGTCCGACGTTTCATCATTCCCTGCACTTCGCTTGTATAATTAATGATTTTGAGACACTTTATCGGACGTCAAATTATACGGGCAATTATTCAGCGCATCAAAGGATATTATCTGTCAGATAAATTTTTTGCCGCAAGAAATGACATGTTTCTCTCTACATTTTTACATTCCGTAGATACTACCATTGCAAGAACATTAAAATAAAAACGACAAGTACTTTAGTACTTTTAATCGGTGCCGATTAAGCTGGTAATAATAACATTCAGACAACGCAATCGAAACGACCTATAAAACACAAACAATGTTAATCAGTTTTTTCAACGATTTTCTACGAGAACAGTTTGATACAATTTTCTTATCTGTTTTCGGTCTGACTTTCTAACTTGTGTCTAGTTCAGAAGTTCGTTCGCATTTTGCAGGATATGAAAAATTGGTAAATTCAACGAATGTACAATCGCTCGTGAAAGTATTCACTGTTCGGTTGCATTCCAATGTGGTGATAAATCAAGTGTATGTGTTCAGGTCGAATTAATGAAATACAGTAGACTTTCGTTATATTGCCACATGTGGACGAACCTTCATTAACATCAGGGTCTACCATTTTTGGGGAGATAGGGAGTTAGAAATCATTCGAATGGTCTTTTTTTGGAAATAATAGCGAGAACTATTGATTAACTGTGGAGGTTAATTATTGATAAGTTGTAGAGATTAAATATTTATTAATTGTACAGATCAATTATTGGTTAATTGTAGAGATTAATTATTGATTAATTGTAGAGATTAATTATTGATTAATTATAGATATCAATTATTGATGAATTATTGATTAATTGTACAGATCAATTATATGACTTGTACAGATTAATTAATCATTTATCTCCACGATAAGACCGTAAATTAATTTGTACCAAGTGTTAAATAAAATAGAACATGGTACAAGTATTAAAAAATGACATAATTCATGAGTAGCCCTAATACTTTAGTTAAAACCTAATTTTTAAAACACAACTCTAACATGTAAATGAACGTATTATTTATTAACACTCTGAGATGCAAACCAATACTTTTGTAAGATATTGTACTTTCATTCGATCAATTATATATTCACCGTCATTATCAATGAAACTTTATCATCCTACGAGTGATTTCTTAATTTCTTCCTTATAAAACAGTTAAAATTTCATTCAGAAACAAGTAAAATGAAGATAAATATACTGCTGAACTTTTGGACTTATCTGATAATTATTATTGTAATAGTTTTGTGTGAATACTCACAAATTATTGATAACATTTGCTCTTCTATCAAGGATAAATACAGAATTTATTTCTTCAGTTGCATTCTTGTTAAGTCTACACATTTTAGAAATGTAAAACAAGTATAAAATTATATAGAAGAAACTCTTTTTGTGATATAATACGATATATAATAAAACGATTATCAAAATATTTAATTTGTAAAATTTATGTTTTTTATCAGAAGATAGATTGGCAATTAAATTTCAGACCTTTTAACACGTTTTACTTCAAAATTGTTAAAGTCTAAAACTGATAAAAAAATTGATAAAAGGACAGATAAAAAGTAATACAAAATTAAAACTGATAAAAAAATTTGATCAAAAATTCGCACGAATGTAATAAAAAATTTTTGATTAAAATTCTGGTTATTTTTATTCAAGTCAGTTATTTGTTAAATTTGAGTGAAAAATTTTCTTGAAAAAAAAATGGTGAAGGCCGCCAATTGATTCACTAACTTAATAAACTAAATACTTAAAGTTTAATAAATGGAAAAATGTATAACTTTCCAAAAAAGAATTTAAACTCAATAAAATAAAAAGTTGTAACAAAATAAATTAAAAAATTGTAATCCACTAAATTAAGAAACTGTAACTCGAGAAATAAAAAATGTGTAACTTAACAAAATAAAAATGTATAACTTAATAAACCTAAAAATTTCCCATATGGAAGCCTACTAAATATTTTCACTATGAGAATAAAACATGTATTATACAAGTATAAAATTCAACAAAGTATATTTTCTCAAAGTTTTCAAACAATGCTCGATAAAATGATCACGAAAGAGTTAATTTGTATGCAAAGAACATCTATAGAAGTATTATGTACTGTTACACAGGCATAAGCTGAATGCGCTGTGTTTTATAAAATGTACAGACAAAAGTGGTTCCGTCGTGAAAGTTACGATTGTGTCTGTGTGTACTTAAGTGCTGCAGCAAGGTAAGTACCTGACGACGTGCAGGACGTCGTGTTGAATGAAACTTCGGGCACGTTGACTTATTTCGTGCAAAACATCACGTAGCATCAGGTAGGAAAAAGGTGCATTATACTTCCTATCCCTTTTCTCTCAATGACTACTGTTACGCGGAATTACAACATGACCTATTTAAACTCGATGCACACGAGCGACTTTTTTCTATGCGATATGATCCAGCTACGATCGCGTTTTTCTTTCCTTGGTTGAAACGAAGACACGTGATCGCAGCAAAATCACACGAGAAGTTGCTCGTGTGCATCGAGTGTATTATTATTCAGTCGTTAGCATATGTGTGGTTTTAGTGAGATGTGTAACTGATCTCTCCGATCAGACGTTTCGGATTATTCTGTTCAGTTATCGGACATGATCTATTGCTTCTTGTGATGTTAGTGAAACATATATGCTGATTGCATTAAACTGTTTTAATACTGTCAGGTTTCTTTGGACCTTTTTCGAACAACTTTCAAATTTTGGGATAATAATTTGAAATTTTTGGATTTGGAATCAAATTTTCACTTGAGAATTTGGAATTCTGAAATTTGAAAGTCTGAGAATTTGGAATTTTGAGATTTGGAGGTTTGAGAATTTCAAAATTTAGGAATTTGGAATTTTGAGAATTTTAGAATTTGAGGATTTGGAATTTTGAGATTTCAAAAATTGAGAATTTAGAATTCTGATATTTGGAAGTTTGAGAATTTTGAAATTTGAGATTTCAAAAATTGAAAATTTGGAATTTTGAGATTTGGAAGTTTGAGAATCTCAAAATTTGAGAATTTGGAATTTTGAGAATCTCGAAATTTGAAAATTTGGAATTTTGAGAATCTCAAAATTTGAAAATTTGGAATTTTGAGAATCTCAAAATTTGAGAATTTGGAATTTTGAGATTTGGAGGTTAGAAAATCTTAAAATTTGGGAATTTGAACTTTTGAAAATTTAAAAATTTTAGGACTTGGAATTTTG